ACAGAAAGACCTAGTATGGGAGTCTGGATAAAGGATATGTATACTGAGGGATACATTGAATTTGTATGAAAATATTTGGTGGTCTTTCTTATATTTTGTGAAACTTGAGGAGTGTACGGATACAGTGAGACCAGTGACATGATTTATGAGAAGTTTGTTTGAGCTTGTGAATACCTTTGGATCAATTGCAGGCTTTTTTTTTTCCTTTTCTTTTTGCTAAATTCTTTTCCTTTTATGGTGAAGTGGTTCCATGTTACTGTTGATGTAGCACTTTATTTTGTGCATTTAATGTGAAAACAATAAACATATTGTTTAAAAAAATGGGAAGAACTTTTGCTGTTTTGCCTGATGAATGTTTCATTTCCCCATCAGGCCTGTGAGAAAGCGGGAATCCAAATCCCCAGGTTCTGTTACCATGAGCGCCTCTCAGTGGCAGGAAACTGTCGTATGTGTCTGGTGGAGATTGAGAAAGCCCCAAAGGTAACAGAGTGCATCTGTTTGTGTTTAGGCAGATTATTTTAGCAGCCACTAGGCTGAAAGTGCATTGAACAAAGAACACTGACATTAGACTCAATGCCTTTGAATGGAAATGCTTGCATTGCTATTGCCTAATGGATGTGTGTGTGCTGTTCCTCAGCCGGTAGCAGCCTGTGCCATGCCCGTCATGAAGGGTTGGAACATCCTCACCAACTCAGAGAAGACACGCAAAGCCAGGTTCTAATTTAAATATTAAAATATATTTAAAATGTCTCCAAAGTTAACAAACTATTGTAAACAGGCCTCGTGTGTGTGTGTGTGTGTGTGTGTGTGTGTGTGTGTGTGTGTGTGTGTGTGTGTGTGTGTGTGTGTGTGTGTGTGTGTGTCATCAGAGAGGGAGTGATGGAGTTCCTTTTGGCCAACCACCCACTGGACTGCCCCATCTGTGATCAGGGAGGAGAGTGTGACCTGCAGGTAACCAAACAACTAGTATATAGAGGTTAAAGGGTCAGTTCACAGAAAGAAAAGAATCAGACATGTAGCTAATTTCCGTTTTATTTGAGTTATTTGAAAAATCTGCTGCAGATACATTTGCTACTACACCAATACAACTGAAAAAGCATTGAATGAACATTTCCCTGCTGTGTTCCCAGGATCAGTCCATGCAGTTTGGTTCAGACCGCAGTCGTTTCTCAGAAAACAAGAGAGCGGTGGAGGACAAAAACATCGGGCCGCTCATCAAAACCATCATGACCCGCTGTATCCAGTGCACACGCTGCGTCCGGTGAGTCACAAACATCCATATTTATATCCATCAGGAATAAAGTGATAATCTGCTATCCTTATTTCAAGTGGTAAAATACATTTATGCATTCTTGTGTGTCTGTGTTTCCTGTAGTTTTGCCAGTGAGATCGCCGGCGTTGAAGACCTGGGAACGACAGGAAGAGGAAACAACCTGCAGATCGGGACGTACGTGGAGAAGATGTTCATGTCGGAGCTGTCGGGCAACGTTATCGATGTGTGTCCAGTCGGAGCGCTCACCTCCAAACCCTACGCTTTCACCGCACGACCATGGGAGACCAGGTAGGTAACGGGTTAGACAGTCAGATCGTTACTGCAGGTTACATTAAAAGATATACTCTTTCTGACCGTCCTGAAGCAAGCTGTTTAATCAATTTAAAGCATTTTGCTCAGTTTTTGTGTGATTCCATCATGCTGTTTTATTTGGCTCCATCTTCTTTCATCGTCTTTGCAGGAAAACTGAGTCGATCGACGTGCTGGATGCCGTGGGCAGCAACATCGTGGTGAGCACAAGAGGCGGCGAGGTGATGAGGGTAATGCCCAGGCTGAACGAAGACGTCAACGAAGAATGGATCTCTGACAAGACCAGGTAAGGGTTCAGGAGGTGCCCGTAGAAGATCTGTCTCACTAGACAAGGGGTCTTAATGGTAAAGATGAGTCCACTTAGACATATATATGTTGCTACTGGTTGTACCTTGACTAAAGAGAATAAAAATGTGCTTCCTCAGGTTTGCATATGATGGTCTGAAGAGGCAGAGGTTGACCCAGCCAATGGTGAAAGATGAATCAGGTCAGCTCACCTTGACCAACTGGGAGGAGGCTCTCACTCGTGTTGCTGGAGCAGTAAGTGTGTGTTTGCTTCTATATTGGATCCGTCCGTTTATTCCTCTTTCTGTACTTATTGTGTGTCGATTGGAGACGGGTGATATTTGTGTGTTGTTGCCTGAGGTCATTTGTGATTGCATTTTAGTTGTGTTCTCATATTTAAGCCTATATGCATAAATCTGTGTGTGCAGCTCCAGAGCGTGCAGGGCAGCGAGGTAGCAGTCATTGCAGGAGGGATGGCCGACGCCGAAGCTCTGGTCTCCCTCAAAGACCTCCTCAACAGACTCAACTCAGAAAACCTCTGCACTGAGGAGCACTTCCCCATGGCAGGTGCAGGGTAAGACTGTATTGTGTTCCCCGCAGTCTCTTTTAGTTGTACAGTGTGTCTTCTCCAGCTGACAGTTTTTATCGTCTGACCTGCAGCACTGACCTGCGCTCCAACTACCTGCTGAACTCTCGCATCGCCGGCATCGAGGACTGTGACCTGCTGCTGCTCGTGGGAACCAACCCACGCTACGAAGCCCCGCTCTTCAACGCCCGAATTCGCAAGAGGTAAACTCTATCGCAAATACATCGCACATTTATTATTCCAAATGTATTATGAGGAGGTCGGAGGTGTTTCATATTTAACAGTTAAATATAAAGCTGGAGCCTGCAGCCGATTAGCTTAGCTTAGCATAAAGAAATAGTCAGTTGTTGGTGCCCAGCTCATGCCATAACACACTCACTTGTGCTGTTGTTGTTTGCTTTCATTATATTTGGGTTTGTCTCGCATATGTAACTCGCCTCCTTCTGTCTTTCTCTCCTCCTCCTCCTCCTCCTCTTCCTCTGTCAGCTGGCTCCACAATGAGCTGCGTGTTGCCATGGTGGGTCACAATGTTGATCTGAGCTACGCATACGACCATCTGGGAGAGGAGACGTCTGTGCTGAAGGAGCTGGCTAATGGCACGCACCCCTTTTGCCAGGTAATGAACACACGTAGCCTGATTTAGAGGACACTTGGAGGGAACTTTTGTGCTGATTTATGAACTGATGTGACTTATCTGTTTCTCTTTTTCTGGCAGCCCTCAGATGGGTTTCTGGCAGCTTTTTAAAAAAATTCTTTCCTTTTGCTCTCCCTGTCTCCAGGTCCTTTCAGCTGCTAAACGCCCAGTAGTCGTCGTGGGCAGCAGCGCTCTGCAGAGAGAAGACGGAGCCGGCATTTTGAGCGCCGTCTCCACCATCGCCCAGAACGCCAGAACCAGCAGTGGAGTGGAAGAAGGGTGGAAAGTCCTCAACGTCCTGCACAGGTACAACGTGGCAATGCTGGCGAGTGTGGACTCGGATCAAGCCTCTATTAGTAAGGTACCATAGAGGCTTCCTGCTCATACTTTGTGTTTGTTTGTTTGTGTGTGTGTGTGTGTGTGTGTGTGTGAGCAGAGTGGCCAGTCAGGTGGCTGCGTTGGACCTGGGCTACAAGGCCGGTGTGGACGCCATCAGGAACAATCCACCCAAAGTCCTGTTCCTGCTGGGAGCTGATGCCGGCTGCATCACCAGAGCCGACCTACCTGAAGGCAGCCTTATCATCTACCAGGGTACACACACACACACACACACACACACACACACACACACACACACACACACACACACACACACACACACACACACAAAGAGCATACACACATTCAGACAGGTAACCACCAAGACAGGGGGGAAAAAAAACCAATGTCACTCATGATCATTTTCAACCCCTCTAGGTCACCATGGTGACGTAGGAGCACCAATGGCAGACATTATCCTACCCAGTGCAGCATACACAGAGAAGAACGCCACCTATGTGAACACCGAAGGCAGGAGCCAAAAAACCCGGGTGGCCGTCACCGCTCCCGGAATGGCCAGAGAGGACTGGAAGATCATCAGGGCCGTATCTGAGGTAACACCGCCTCCCATAGCACACACTAACATCCGTGCTGTCAGTTAGCAGAACTTAACAGTAACGCGTGCTTGTGTGTTTGCAGCTGGCCGGTGTGACGCTGCCCTACGACACTCTGGAAGAGGTCCGCTCCAGACTAGCCGAGGTCTCTCCTAATCTGGTCCGTTATAACGACGTAGAGGAGGCAAACTACTTCAAACAGGCTAATGAACTCGCCATGGTACGCGCACACACACACACACACACACACACACAGAGTTGGTTGTCTTGGTTAACTTCCGTGAGAAGAAAATGACCTGTGTCTGTTTCCTTACTCTTTTCTTCGCAGGCTGTGAACCAGGACCTCATCGCAGCTCCTCTGGTACCACCTCAACTTACAGCAAAGGACTTCTATATGACAGGTGAGCGTGTGTGTGTTTTGTTAGCGGATACACAGGCAAAAATACAAATACATAAAAATGTAAAATAATCTGCCTCTGCCCCTTCCTTTCCGCATTCAGACTCTATCAGCAGGGCTTCCCAGACGATGGCCAAGTGCGTCAAAGCCGTGACAGAAGGAGCTGCCGCTGTTGACGAGCCTTCAGTTTGCTGAACACCCGATAACACCCACAACAATAAACTCTCTCCTCTGCCAACACAACACACACTTCACTGAACGGACACGGTGTCGCTCCATAATTTAAAGTTGTCCCTGATGTTTGTTGTATACGGTTCTCACTCCTGAGAACGAATCTTTCTTGAATATAGCTGAGAAAAGTATGAAATATGAATAAAATCTTACAAATGTCTTTACTCCAGTCTGAGTGGGTTTCATTTATTGCATTTTTGGTTGAAAATCCCTGTCCCATCCTCTATCATTCCTCCTCCCAATCACTAATGTACACTGTCTTTAGCTCTTCACGGGCAAATCTTTGGAGAGTGACTGTAAACCACTGAAAGTCTTTAAAAAGAGTGTTTATATGCGTCTTGAATAGATCCAGAATGGGATACTGGTGTCTGGATTTGGACTCCGTTCCTGCAGACAAATTGCTCTTGTCATATACTGTTCCCTAAGAAAGAGAGAGAGGGTGAGAGAGAGAGAGAGCTCTTATAACCAAACAGAAGCAGGGAGGCGCACACAGAGAAAAAGAGAGAAGACAGTCCCATCTCTTCATTCCCTGTCTGCCCAGTGTCTGAGACTGAACACGGTGACTTCATTATATTACTCCTCTCCGTATCTGGAATTTATTTCTACTTAAAGGTCAGTATTATTGCTTCATGTAGTTCTCTGGTTCTGGGTTTTTTTGTATTTGTGATTTTAAGTTTTGCCTCCTCTCTTCTTCTTTGAAGGGTTCTCATGCGGGAACAGACAGCGGGCTAATTATTGGACCCAACAGGAAAATGGTTCCAGTTAAACTCCTAATTCTGGGAGCTCAGAACACTGGAAAAACAGGTAGATCACAGACTGCAGCAGACGGGAAGGTGGAGAGACAGGATGGGCACGTGTGAGCACTTCTTTGGATTATGTAACAGTCGTATAGGTACTTTCATGCTCATCACGTGAAAACACAAAGTCAAAGAGGTTAAGTTGGGGGTTAAATCTTGGTCACGGTTGAAGAGGTTTTGCTAAATATGGAAACCTTACGCAGGTCTAACGTTGACCCCTCGTCCTGAGTATTGAAGTGTAAACGTCTCCTGTGTCTCCTGAAACTGCTACGTTTGAATGTCTCTGTGTTTTGTCAAATCTTTTTAACGGTGGCACAACAGAGCAGGATGCAGTTTGTCAGAAAGAACAAGTATAAACTGAAAGTAACAACCAGACCTCTAACATTATAAAAACCTCCAAGCCTCACAGATTATATACAGCAGATTACTACTATTACTTACAGTGGTGGAATGTTACATTTACTTAGGCACTGTACTTACTTACAAATTTGAGGTACTCGTATACTTGAGTCTTTTCTTTTCATGCCACTTTATACTTTTACTCCACTACAATTCAGAGGCAAAGATTGAACTTTTTACTTCACTGCAATCATTTAACAGCTGTAGTTACAGGTCGCTTTATAAGAAATTCTGAGATTTTATAAAATATGATGTTTTGCTTAGACCCAGACTGATATATTATGGATTATATTTACAGATTATATTTATCCAGCAGATTACACTGTGATTTACAAAACTGTGACAAGCAGCACAGACTACAAAAGAAGAAGAAGAAGAAGCAGCTCTCAGAAATGTTAATTAATATATTGCACTTGCAATATTCTTTTAAAAAGTTATTTGTTTAAGACAGCAGCCTTCTGAGTACCTTTGCATATTGGTCGGGCTCTAGTTTTGTTGTAAATTAAACCACCCAGCAATATATATAAGCAGAGCTGAATCATTTAGTTGATTGACAAAAGATTATTTGGCAACCATTTTTGATAATTATTTTATGTCATTTTTCCTACAAAAGAAACACTTCATACATCCCAACTGGGAGGATCAGCTAAAAAAAGATTGGTTCAGACTAATTCAATTAATGGGGAAAATAATCAGCAGATAAATCCATAATGAAAATATGAGGATATATGTAATAGTACAACAGTCTCAGGGGACATGTTTATACTTAAAAAAGTAAATTGTCATGATTATTCTTGCATACTTTGATTTCAGTAACCTTCTCAATACAGACTATTAAAACCAGTGTAACCTTCATTTAGATGCTCTTACACTACCACACACAGCAGAGTTCATGTGTACACATATTTTCCTAGAAACACCAGACATGTTTGCCTAACTCCATTCTCATTAAGTGTGGAGTCAGTGAAACATACAGGATGTGCCCCTGGTTTTCCAAAATCTAGAGGAAATGTAGTTCTCCAGACTGGATAACCTTGGAAGCTCATAACATTATTCCAAGTAAATGACAACAGTTGTCAGTTATATTATTACTCCTTTACAGTGAAGTCTGTGGATTGCCTCTGGAAAAACAACTTTTTTTATGCTTTGGGCACCACTAACAAAATTCCATTCACCTCCATTGTGTTGGTGGTGGGAGCAGAAACCTCAGCACATAATACTGAAAATGTCTGTGGCGAGATACAGATGTGAGAGGGGTAGACAACAAGCTTTAGTTTCTGATACTGGATGAAAACAAAGCCATTTTTCAGCTCCTCTGCCTCAAATAACAGGTTGAACAAGCCTAAAGAACTTTTTAATGTGTCCTGCCTGAATACAGCGAGCCCCTCGAACACCAGACACAGACGTCAAACAAACATGAACCCATCCAGACTCCTTGCACCCAAACACAGAGAAAGCACTTCTGCGTTTGTTTAAACAAGACAGGTACCATTACTAAGAGGATAATTCTCAAAGCAGGGCTGACTGCACAACACATGAACACACAGCAGGCCTCAGATCAGGTGCTAATGTGTAAATTAGACTCCTTATGTGTGCATGCACAGTATATTGAGTATATATATGAGCTGGTGTATGTTGTGTTCCTGGCAGTTGGCTCTCTGGTGACCGTGTCTGTTTTGTGTCTCCAGCACTGTGTGTTCGTTTCTTAACCAAGCGCTTCATTGGCGAATACGACCATAAGAAGGGTAAGACTGCAGTGGATATTTGTTACAATAAACATTATTGATGTGGAAAAAAATAACTGGGTTATGCAACTTACCCGCATCATTCCCAGACAGTTTAAAATAAAGTGTCTGTGTTTTACAGAGGTGACCTACAGATGCAGTCGGGTGGTGGACCAGGAAACTGTTGATCTAGAGATTTTGGATATGGCTTGGAAGGTAAATTCTGACTTCTGTTTAATACTGTTTTACATCAAATTGGAAATAGACGTTTGTCTACGTAGACACAACCAAAAGCATCCTCAGTTTTAACCAAAACATTTTAGCTGCTTAATCTAAAAGGTTCATTGTGTAACATTTAGGAGGATATATTGGCTGAAATGGAATATAATATTCATAGGTATGTTTTCATTAGTGTATAATCACCTGAATATAGGAATCGTTGTGTTTTGTCACCTGTTACCTCAGAATGAGTCATTTTTATCTATAGAGGGAGCGGGTCCTCTTTTATGGAGGCTGCCATGTTTCTCCATAACGTTTGAAAGGCAAGCGGTTATTCAGCTGGTTGCAACCTGAAACTTTCCCCGCTAGAGGCCACCAAATCCTACACACTTCTTGCAGAGTTAAATGACAAGATGGACACTGCTCTCTTATTAACAATACATGACGTTATCTCCTGCAGGAGAACTCCGTGGCTTCTCTGGAGTCTTCCATCCGCTGGGCAGACGGCTTCCTGCTGCTCTACTCCATCACACAGCGCCTCAGCTTCCTGGAAGTCCCTCGGCTCAAGAAACTCATCGACCAAACCAAACAGAGTCTGGGTAGGGAACTAACTTATTATTCTAAATGGAGGGACTGTTGAAGGAGAGTCCTCTGGCTGTGACAGCAGATAGTGTCTTACACTGTCTTTTGTTTTAACCACCACTCACCACTAGGAGTCATCAAACTCAGAAATGGTAAATCATTTGCACATAAAGGCTTTAAAGTCACTAATTTGACAGAAGAAAAGTAACGTGGGAAAACATCTCTTTTGTGAGTTTTGACTTTTCTCCAATGTCCTCTAACAGAAACTATCTTGTCAGCGTCACTAGTAACTACTGCAGCAGTGTGATCTCCACAGGAACAGTGTGTTCACTATGTTTGCTCTTTAAGTCCAGTCTCTGTTCTAACTCTGACATCTGTCTATTGTCACCTTTACACACACACACACACACACACACACACACGCTTTCCATACTTGGTAGGCCATCCTGTGCTCTGTAGGTAACATGTAAACTCCCAACTCTGCATGCCATAGCATCATCCTGCCGGGTTATTGTCACTTTGTTTCACTGTGTGTGTGTGTGTGTGTGTGTGTGTGTGTGTGTGTGTGTGTGTGTGTGTGTGTGTGTGTGTGTGTGTGTGTGTGTGTGTGTGTGTGTGTGTGTGTGTGTGTGTGTGTGTGTGTGTCAGTTGTTCCCACAGTGCTGGTAGGCAATAAGGCAGACCTGGAAATTGGCAGGGAGGTGCCAACAGAGGAAGGACAGAGACTGGCCAAAGAGTTAAGGTTTGTGTGTGCGTTGTACTTCATAATCAATAGTTCTCTCCTGTTCATTTTCTTGATTTTTTAAAAATGAAATTACAGTTGTTGTGCTGTTGATACAGCTGTTGTTTATATTGCTACCAAATATATTCCCAGTACTGAATATTGTTAAGAATTACAGTGTGTGTTGTTATTTTGATGAAGATAATACAACAGTTTTATACATTTTGTTAACTAAATGTGCATCTAATTATCTTCAGCTTCATACAAAATATATATTGAGTATCATTTGTGAAGGTAATTTACCATTATACAATATATATAATGTGTGTGTGTGTGTGTGTGTGTGTGTGTGTGTGTGTGTGTGTGTGTGTGTGTGTAGGTGTGTCTTCAGGGAGCTGTCGGTGGCAGAAGCAGTTTTAGCTGTGGAAGCAGCAGTGCTTCAGCTCATCAGGTTTGGTTTAGCTTTATTATAACTTCACACTTAGTTCACACAGTTCACATTATGGTCAAATTACTTGTTAAAGATCCCCTCCAGACATTTATTAAGACTTATATACAAATAGTCTCTTTGGAACAATAATGTGTGTCAGAAAAAGTATAATTTCCACATTAAAATCCTTAAAAAGGCATCTTTAAATGACACCAAATCTGATATATGCTTAAGCATGCAAGCATGCCATGCTTTATATTTGTCAGCTGACCCTCATATATCTTCACTCTGGTCCTGCAGGTAAGAACATGCACAGCTGCTGCACGTGTTCTTTAACTGGCGTCTGACTTTGATGTTTTCTTTCTCGTGTCTGACAGGCTGGTGCTGGATCAGCAGCGGCCTCTGCCTGACCGCCGCTCTTACATGCTGACTGTTCGCCACGCTCTGACCAGGAAACTGACCCGATCTAAGACCATGCAGTGGTGACCAGCAGCGAACAAATTCAGGTGTTTTTACAGCGGGACATTTGAGAAAACTGTGTGCTGTCTTACTCACACCAATTCCAGCTCAGCCTGAGATAATCTGGAAGAGAGGATGGATGAGTACAATATTAGTAGGAGGAATAATGTGTCAACAGGTGAAGAGTCGAGTGAACTTCAGTAATGGGCAATCACATCAGCTCCTGTTTTCCACTTTAAAAGCAGCAGACGGTTTAATGGGCCTGGATGAGAGTCCAAGGCTGTTCATCAGAGGGGATTACACAGTGGCCCAAATACACTTTCAAGGACAGAGGATGTCCTCTTTTAAAGATATAATATGTAACATTTCTGCACTATAAACACTAGAACTATGTTTTGTATGATGTTGAGTTCTGCACTTACATTACAACAATGTTCAAACTCAGAGAAAAATGTCATTTTATTCAGGTAATGTTGTTATTGTTTTAATGTGAGAGGGGGGTCCTAGTGGCTGCAATTATATATTATATGTTTAGGTTGAATTTTAGTGTTAGATCAAGTTATTTTAGAAGACTGCAGTTAGGGTAGAAATACATTAACTTGAAGTGCAAATAAAATGTGTTTCTCTTATTACAGACTGTTGCATATATTTTGCACTCAGTTCCACACTCATCTTTTTAGGATTATTTACATATACTGTACATGATTGTATTAAAGGAGAGCTCCTGCATGACATTTTTGTCAGGAGGAGTTTGTACCCTAGTTTGTTATTTGCTCCATTCTCCAGTAGAGGGCAGTACAGTCATTTCATCTGGTGCACACTCACCACAGTCCCACAGCACATCAAATGCACAATTTTACCAAAGGCATATGAGTACCACTGTCCAGTTTGGTGTGGAGAACTCCTCTGCACCGAGCTCTGACCTCAGCCCATTCAAATTAGACCTTATGGCCCAACATCGGTGAGATCTTGTGGAGTCCACTCCCAGAAGAGTGGAGGCTGCAGATTAATGCCAATGGTTTTGGAATAAGATGATTTATGTTGGTGTGTCCACATTCTTCAGAATGCCTCAAATTCAAAGTTTCTTTTTATAATTTTACATTTTTGGTGTATAATCTGTACCAGAATTTAACCAATCAATAAATGAACCAGCCACTGAAGGTAAAACAGTAAATCTTGCTCTTGTTAAAGGAGTGTGTGTAGATGATGTAACAGTGTGTAAAGAATGAGGCTGGCTTTGATTACAGTCTTGGCATTATTTAACTTTAGTCTCTGTATTCCTTTCCATGTATCTCTCTCTCCCTACTCATTTCTCACTCTGAACTCCTGAACTTTATGATCAGCAAGAGACAAATGAAAAAAAAAGAGGGACAGGAAAAGGCAACTCAGCGAGCTGCAGAAAACTATAAGACTATAACAGGCAAGGAAAACATTGGGCTTCTTTGGCATCTTATTTTGTCTGAAAGGAAAGAAGAGATGCTCAGTCGCAGCCACACTCAGTCTGACTACACTGTTTATACGCACTGCTTTAACTCCAGCCTCTCGTAAAAGCATTATGGGAAGATTGACTGTGTGCTTACTCTCCATCCCATCACTCTGTCCACCCCCACGGCCATTTACCATACATCAACTACTCCACCCAGCTACCACCAACCAACCAACCAACCACAGAACCCCTCTTTACAAGCACAGCGGATGAAAATGTGCATATAGTTACAGATTTGGCTGGTGTTTTTTCACCATTAGACATTCAGTGTATTTGCATTGTGTGATTGAATCTCTACATGGTAGTTTTCAATGTTACTGGCAGTCCAGCTTTGCTTTCCTGCACAGGATTCAAATTGTATGCACACAGGTTTTTTTCTGGAAATGATGAATGCATGTCCTCGATGTAATAGAGAAGACAAGAGAGAGAGCCAGTGTCGGGCATTTGAAAGTCTGAAAGTGTAGCTGTTCTCTTCTTTATTTTTAAAAATGTGATGTGGTGAATCCTCGTTGTTTGCATTTGCATTTGACACAAATTTCTCTTCTTCTGTCGCATTTCTGACAGAGTAGCTTCTTTGTTGCTGCCTTGGGTTGATTCACATGTCATTTTGAACAGACCTGTATTTTTAAAACACACATGCTGTTACTACCAGTCAACACAGGTGTCACCAAATAGACCATGACTTTGTCTTGCGGATTATGAAGTAAAATTGTAGTATTTGCCACAAAAGAAAACAATAAAAAAGAAGATATTGCTTAGGTAAAAATATTTTCTACAGTTCTACAACAAATTATTATTATTATTATTATTATTGACCCTTTCTAAGCCCCGCCCCTTTTGGTTCTGTGCTCCAGTAACAGTTGAGCAAGCTTCAGTCAAAACCTCGGTCAACTTTCTCCTTTCCTGTACTGAGATACGCTATGTGCTCGTCTGTGTTGAAAAGACAACCACATTTTGAAGATGGTTAAAAGATAAAAGCCACATGTATATATAAATATATCACATCTTAGCTAGCTAATGCCAGCAAAAAGTTAGCTAACTAACGATTGATGGAAATTACTAACACGTAATATATTCTGACCGAGGCTTGCTCAACTGTTATTATTTCTCTCCGTTTTTATTAGCATTAATTGTTGCAATATTAAGTTCAATCTTGACTCAAGGTTTTCAAAGATCTCAGAATGCTTTGCCAAAAACAATGAAGTGTTTAGTAGCTTGTGTTAAAGGACAGTGTGTAGGATTTAGTGGCAACTAGTGGTGAAGTTGTAGATTGCAACCTTTTGAATACAGCTCAGCCTTCCAAGTGTGTAGGAGAAACTACGGTGGTGAATTATGCAAAAAATGCAAAAGCCCCTATCTAGAGCCAGTGTTTGGTTAGATTAATATGGTGGCCTGTGTAGAAGATGATCCACTCCCTCTGTAGAAAAACAGCTCATTATATGGTAGAAAACCCAACAGATCGTAGTTTCAGGTGATTATACACTAATTCACAGGTATGTTTTACCTGTGAATATTGCAGACCATTTCTGCCAATAGATCCTCCTAAATGTTACACACTGAACCTTTAAGATTATTTTCTTTATATACTGATTTATTGTTCTATTTCTCTGCATACCTCTGTCCTAATGGCACTAGTTTTATTTCAGGTGAGGCAGTAAGTTGGATGGTTGTGGTGGTTGCTGAGGGGGTCCTGCTCGGGGACCCAAACAGTCTTGTGCCGCCCTGACTAATAATTTAATGTTAACAGACTGCTTGGAAATAGAAGTCATTAACATCAAATCATATGAATTTATATTCACCATCATGAGTGGGTGCTACAGTGAATACACTCCAGCCTCTTAACATGGTCAGCACAGGGAGATGATTTGAGGACTAATAGTAATTGTCTGGTAGTGATAGTGTGACTGAACCCATCTGACTCACTCAGACACGTATAAACTGTGTTCTCCACATCTGTGCTTTGTGATGCCAACAAACCTGAGTGGATCTGAGACAGATAGAGAGAGACAGAAGAGGATGATGACAACAATGAATGTGCGGAGGGGTGATGTCATCACAGCGGTCACCAAGGAGACGAAAGGTCAAAACCCCAACTCACCTCTTTGGCTCAGAATAGAGGATGAGTCATACTTGCATCATTACACCAGCAGCCAATCAGAGAGCAATCTGTCATAGCCTGCATCAACACATGACCAACCAATCAGAGAGCTATTGCATTGAAACAGACAAAAACTAAAGCTTTTGGAGTTTTTGTTTGTACTCATCAGATTTATTTAAAATAAATACATCAATCTAATGTATTGATGTAATCCTGACTGAGTTATTATTTGGAGTCAGGCGTTTGTATACCAATAGTTATTTATTTTATAAAAATATATGAATGTTGTATTCAAAATTGTAGATTAACTTGCATCATACCGTCCTTGGGTCCTGCTCTTACTATGCATCCTCAACTGTGAACATACTATCCATACAAGCTGACTGCTGATTAGACCCGCTGAGTACCTACCAGTTTTGACCTGAGCTTCTCTTATCTTGCAGGAAGCTGTTTGTTTCCGTTTATCACACCACAGTTTGAAATCATGCTGACGTGATATGAATACAAACCAATGGCTGCTCCCACCACATGTCGAAGTATCCTTGAGCAAGATACTGAACCCCAAATTGCTCCCGATGCCGTGCATCGGTGTGTGAATGCGTATGAATGTTAGTTTCTGTTCGATGGACTTTGCCATCACTGTGTGAATGTGTGTGAAAGGGTGAATGTGGCACATAGTGTAAAAGCACTTTGAGTGGTCGGAAGACTAGAAAGGCGCTATACAAGTACAGGTCCATTTACCATTACTATTCAACAATCTAAAACACAGAAAAAAACATAGTAAACTTATTAGCAATTATTATCATCAAGAGTAGAGCAGTTCCCCTCAGCGCCATGGAGCATTTTGCACTTTTTGGTTTCACTGTTACTGGTCCTGTCTCACCGCTCTCATCAACGTTGTACCAAGCAACAGACAGTGGTTTTTCAGTGGAAAAGCTCTTTTAAACCCATTATACACCTGCCCGGGATCAAACAGCAGACAGTCACTGACTAGTTGATGAACACAATGGAGCATTTAGCAGCTACAGAGCTAAGAGGAGATATGGAGACCAAAACAGGGCTAAAAGCAGACTGAATATTTGATTTACCTTTCCCAGGTACCCAGAAATACAACTTAGATGAAGAATGACATTTGTTGACAGTTGCACCAAGGACTCACCTTTGGTACATAGGATGACAGCTCTACCAGGTGAGCTACCAGGGAGTCCCAGAAATACTAACTCTGAATGAATGCTAATGTTGCTCCATGTCTTTGCTAAAATGTTCTCCATAACAACTTTAGTACTAGGTGTTAATATGTCAGTGATGTGTTTATAGCTTGTTCCACTGCCCCCAAGTGGCCAAAAAAAGAAAAGAAAATGCAGCTTTAATATTTCATATTGACGAAGTGTGCTTTAATAATACGTCCCCAGTTCTATTGAAAACACTATAAATTATGCTTAAGAAAATACTGGCTATGAATAATATATAAAATCTGTTTTCATTTTAGAGAAATGTTTCGTATTATACATTTTTAAATTATAACATTTTATAAGTTTGGGATTTCATATTAAAGGTGTTGAATGCATTTCCTATGCTCTATAGAACTTTTAGAAATACTTTTTTGAATGTTTTGTTAACATTGGTTTATTGTCTTCTTTGTCTCCTCTTTAACTGGCACATTACTGCCATCTGCATTTGCCACCCATTCTGCTAAAACAAATTATACAAACAAAACAGGGGTTGTCTCATCAAAACATTGCTCCACAGTGCCACCAGTGGTCAAAAACAAAATAGGGTACCTTTAAATTTTAAATTAGGGTTAGTTAGGGTTTAGGAGAGAATTACTGTAGTTAGTGGAAGGTCACCACAGCTATACAACACCAATGTGTGTGAGAAAAACAGTGACACCCTGTCCCCTGGGATGGGACACCTCCGTAAGCTGATATCTGGAAGGAGAAAGGAGACAGAGGAAAGAGGAGGGGTGGAAGCAGATAGAGGAAGAATGGGCGATAAGGAAAAGGCTGAAAAAAGAAAAACCAGGAAGGGAATTCGAAGAAGTGAGGTTGAAAGAGGTTGTAGAGTAACAGGAGATCATTATATAACAGTTAGTAACTATTGTTTGAATGGGGACATAAAAAATACACACAAATACCTGATTGTAATCATTGTAGTTCAGATTTCTGTCTCCGAGCCTCTACCAAATCCTCTGCAATAACCTTGATATGAACAATGCAGTCAGGGGTAAATCCATAAAAATATCAAGTAGCCTTGTTTCCAAACATCTCTCTGTGGGTTTGTGAAGGGGATCAGGTATTTCAGTCTGGACCTATAGTTCCAGTCATGTGGCTGGCTTAAATATAACTGCTGAAGGACCCAGAATTGAGCCATGCTGTACTCCACTTGCAATCCTCTTACTCTTTATACATTGTGGCCTGAAATAAACTCATAAAGTTCTGATTGGGATCAAAAATGTTACCATCTTAAAAACTATGTGAGAGAAAAGAGAAATGTATTCAGATGTTGTCATAACAGTTATATCTACAGCCATGCTAGCAGCTACTTGGGCACAACATTACTTTGAGTTCAATTCTAGCATGCTAACATGCTCACAACAACAATACTAACATGCTGATGTTTAGGAGTGTAACAATTCTCACTATCTTTGTTTAGCGTGTAAATATGCTAACGCTTTCTACCATTAAACACAAAGCACATCAGAAATTAATCTAAGATATTTTGTAAATGGAAAGCTGTTTAATAGATTTATACTTGTACATTTATATATTTGAAAGAAGTGGGTTTAAGGATATTTTGTTTTGTTAATTTTCAGAACCACACACATTCACTGAACTGAAAGTCCAACCCAACTAGTGTGTCCATGAGGTCCCCATCCTCACAGATATGATTGATAGACATTTGATAGGAATCTTGTAGGTATTTAGCGCCATCATCAGGTCCAAATTTTATTGTGAAATGTATCATTAGGTATTGGATCGACTGTGATGAAATTTTGTACACACATTCATGTCCCCTGCAGGATGAATTGTGGATTTTGTCCCAGTCCTAGATGTTGAAATATTTCACTGAATAAGTTAAAATATTGACTTACTGATGGCTAAAAAGTCAGAATATCACCAAAGTCAAAAGAATTCATCCCCTGAGCACCATGAATGTCTGGCCTAAATGTATCCAGTTGTTGAGATATTTTCTAAATAACACTTCTCCCCCTTTCAAAATGCCTCTTTCCATGAAATATACCCAGATTATGTAACAGGTCAGAGCTGCATTACACACACAGGCACCTCTGATACCTGCTACACAATGAACAGGGCTTCTCTCGCTCCTCTGGGTTTCAATCTCTCTATCTCTGTCTCTCAGAGGAGAATCTGGGGCAGAATGAGCGGAGAGGAATGAGACGGGCGAGCCTGAGCAATCATGGAAGAGAGACAAATATCTATTTCCTTCCGACTTTGCAGTGTGTGTGTGTGTGTGTGTTTGTGTCTGTTGTAGCTGCTGGCAATATCTCGGGGTGTCAGACAGTCACCTGTCTTTTTCTATTTTTCTTTCACACATAAACACATTCTTCAACACCAAAACGTGAAGGCTTGTTTTTTTTTTTTACAATAAATTTACATTGAAATGTTTAACAATCTAATTCTGTTTAAATAATTTGATCAAATAACTCCCTCTTACCTAAAGGGAGTAATATAACATCCTCTAATCTGATAACATCTCCAGTGCCCGCTGGTAGACCTTTACATTGACATTTGGACTTGTCATAGCAAGAAAAGCTCAGATCCATGAAAGTGTCCTAGGAAACCAGATCAGTGAGCTGCTCATGTGCACAAAAACATGAAAAAGGGTCTTTCAAACAAATGAACCAAACATGGCGTCTTAAAGGCTCTGCACAGCCCCAGAGGTGTCTGGCTGATGAGACCTCTGCTCAGGTAAAATTTGTATCAGCAATATCATCAAACCCGCTGTACTTATAAGAAGATAAGAACGATAAAGGTGTAATTTGTCCCCCCAAGCTAACAGGAGAGCAAGCAGTCTGTACACGCCCACGCAGTGCTGACATGACATCAGACCAGCCGAATTTAAATCGGCTGTGTGAGTGTATCCTGTGGAAGGTAGGGCATTTAATGCAACAATAATTATCAAAATCTACTGTAGCATACATCACAAAAACTGTTACTGAAATAATATTTCATAAGTTGAGTTTCCATGGTTTAATGTTTGTTTATGTTATTCTGTGTTTTGACAAATACTTATATTCCATTACCTGCATCCTTAACATGAGAATACCACAGTGAAAATGTATGCTCTATGAATGCAAGTCACGGTCCTGCATTCAGTAATAAGTACAAGTTAAGAAGTAGCCTATTATATAAGATTATGTTTTATAAAATAACTTTTAGAGTGAACGTCAAGTGTGATCAATATGCAAAATGGCCCAAATCACAGTATTGTACTATTACTTGTATTTAATCACTGTATTATTATCCAAATCTACTACAGTTTAAGCAGCAATTTACTCTTGTAGTTTTCATTTTCAATCATCATCATGATCATATGTTTTGTATACAAATCTGTAAAGTCACTAATAACTATAAATACATTGAGAGGAGTACAGTAATTCCCCCTGAAATGTGAGTAAGCATAAAGGTACATAAAATGAAAAGTTAGAGTACCTTTAAAACTGTATACTTAATTAGGCTACTTCCCACAAGTGATGGTACATTAATTGTTATAACAAACATATGATTTGACAAAAAGTCAATAGCCTTATATTTTAATTATTAAAAAAAAAAAATACTTTGATTCTTATAATAAAGACAATTTACATGTACAGATCATGCGAACATGTATGCTTTTTTTTAAAAAGGAACACATAAAAGAAATATATACAACAAAAGAAGAATTAAAGAAGAAAAGAGATTAAAAAGGAAATTAGGGGAAAAAAGATTAACGTTATAATCTAAGGCTAGGGGGATCTAAATAAAGATGTCATCATTATACAAGCTGCTATAGTTTTAATAGCACTATAGTTTGTGTGCTCGTTAATTGACGCCACGGGCGGGGGGCGGGGCTTCACTGAATATTCATTAGCGCGAGGGGGAGAGACGGCGCACGCGGAGAGAGAGGGAGAAGCTGAGGCGCACGCACACAGCTGGATGGATAGGAAGGTCTCCGCCACAGCTGCAGGAGGATGTGAATTTCCGACTATTTTTAAGTTTGTCAGTAAAAGCAAGCAGCAGCGGGACTGAGCTCGACCAACCGGCTCCACGTACAGGCGGCGTAAATAACGGCCGGATACTCGCACAGCACGCGGCAGCTGTTTGAAAACAAACTGCTTCGTTTTAATGAGTTGATATTAAGACCAGTCCAGATAGCTACTGACCGTCCGTCCGGTGAGCTGCACACACACAGACAACATGATGGAGTCTATCTTAGACAGTTTGACAGCAGAGAAACTCTATCCGTCCGGAGGGGCCAACCTGTTGGACCTGGAGGAACTCAGCGATGGAGATTTCCTCACTAATGTGGTGAGTTCTCGCGCATATTGCATTTAATTAGCATGACTTTACTAGCCTCTCATTTCTGTCTCCTGTGTGGGTCCACAGTCTACACATTCATGAGTATAAACTGCCCTGTGGCGTTGTGTCTTTCTGCTGGGAGTCAGCTGTCTGCATTTAAAGTCCCTTAAATCAAACGCACATCTGCTGCCTGTTCCGCCCGGAGCCGGACCTCAGGAGGGCGGTGTAAGTTGGTAGATCCTGACTGACATCCGGGGCTCGTACCCTGCTTGCGTATGTGTGTGTGTGTTTAATTGTGTAAACCAATATGTGAGATTGGGAACATCAACACAGGCTGGCCAGTTACTGGTTAACTGCGTGTGTGTGTGTGTGTGTGTGTGTGTGTGTGTGTGTGTGTGTGTATATGTGTAGGTGGGTGTGTGTGTTCAGCGGGCAGGTGTTGTAGTCCTCAGCAGCACACCTGACTATTAATGTGGAGTTGAGTGCGTGTGTGTGTGTGTGTGTGTGTGTGATTGGGCATGCCCTGAACTGAATCTGGCTTGTGCACAGCTGCTGTGTGTTCCTGTGTGTGTGTTTGTGTGTGTTTGTGTGTGTGAGAGGGGGGGGACACACTATTAATTGACAGTGTTCAGTATATTGGCTATATGGGTCTTCATTAGTTTTCAATTAACTTTTAGAGTGTTTGTTATAATAAAACCCTAATTAGAATGAGGGAATTTTTCCTAATTAACTCTCAATTGACTTATAAAATAATGAATGCCTTGACTGTTACTCAAGTCTTATTTAAAGTATGCTTGGAACTTAAACATTAATTATTGTGTGAGCTAACAGAAAATTAATCTGCAACTATTTTGCTTAAATTAATTTTTAAAGGAAAAATGGCAAAAACAAGTTGTTTTTTTTAACTCTTTTATGGTAGAAAACTGAATATCTTTTGGGTTCTGGGCTGTTGGTGTAACAAAAAAAAAAAAAGAAAATCATAGACCTTTTTCACAGTAGCTATTTTGACATGAATTAGTAGGGTAAACACAGGTGTGTCTGTTCCATTCACGTCAGTCAGAGTCAGGATGCTGCTATTGTGCATGTTGGCTCACTCTTAAGACTCTGCTACACTAAATGGAAGGGAGCCTTAACTTGTATCATTGGTAAGACCTATGTTCGCCCTACTATTACATGTCAAAATGGCTGCTGTGAAAAAGGTCTATTTATAATGAAAGTAATCGTTAATTGCAGCCCTAAATAATATTGAAACTATGGATCATTTGACCCTATTTGCCCCATTACAAAATGAAGTCTAACTTTTAGTTAACTCTTGTTGATATAAAGTGTATAATATACAGTTATACACTGTCAAAATACAAAAAAGGCTGGAACCTTTGATTAAATCTTGTTCAACCAGTTCGAAGCTGCTGCAGAATAATCACAAGCTTTACTCCTGTTGTGGTAAAAGTCTCCTGAGGTGACATATTAGAGATGCAGCAGGGTACACACACACAGTTCTGACTGTTACATAAAAAATCAGAGGACAATTAAGCCTCTCGGCATCACCCCACCAACCTTTAACAACCACCTGTTGTCACCAATCCTCCCTCCATACCCTCATTCAAAAACAACAGGTTACCGGGGGCAACGGCTGCATCTATCATCTCCTGTAGCACCTGAGACGGTGCATCTTTAATTTCAGCAGAGGAAGACCTGTGGCTGTGGTGAACAACAGGATGTGGTAGAGCCGAGTCATGGCTGTTTATCAATACAATAATCGCTGTGTTGGTTGAGAAGTAGTGCGACAGGATATTTATTTTAGTAGAAAAAATACAAAATTACGGATCCTTATGATCAAATGTAACATCATTCTGGGCAAATAAAGCTGTTGTTCCATGCCCAGTTTAAGCAGTAGTCAAATCTAGTTGTGATGAGAGCTTTGGTACCTGCCCCTAATGTATGACAATGTATTCCTCCTCATCCCACCCTGTTTCCTAGTGTACCGCCGGAGTGCCATGCACCTCCGGCTACAAACAAAATGCCAAAAGTACACAGCCGTGCCCTCTGTGCACGCCATGCTTGACCGAGCTTTGCACTCTTAATTCTCAGAACCAGGGCGGACAGACTGAGGACCGTTCCACTGCCGCACACTGAGAGTTTAGTGATAAATATCTCAGTGTCAGTGGCTGTATTAGCAGGAGGCACACTTTCTTTATTTCTGTTCCATCACTAGCTGTCTCTTTTTCCACCCTGTGTCGTTCCCCCTTTTTCTTTTTTTTTTTAAACGGTGCAGGTTTTTTAAAGCAGACCTCTATTCTAGTCAGTGAGTCAGCCGAGCAGTCTGCTTGTGGTTTAAACCCCCCCGTCCCTGTTCTAAATAAAGTAGTCCACTCTGCTGTGAAGCCACTAGGCTGGGCTGTACCACTGAGGACATGGGAAAGGATGGATGATTAGCAGCAGCAGGATAGCACGCTTCTACATCGTTAGTTTTGATCTCTTTTTAATTTATTATCTGCAGTTTAGTTGTATGGAGGTGCTGATGATGAATCACAGCACCAGAGACCTCCATCTGTCCCTGAGAACTCTGGGAACTAAGGAAAAGTCAGTGTCATAATGGCGTCATCAGCGAATTCCTGTTTGAAGCGTTCACTGCAGTTGCATGTACACTATCTTTCCAGTTTAAACCAGAATCTTTCATCCATGTGGGGGCAGGGGAAACAAGTTGTAAACGCAATATTGTTGTAGATACAGAGCTACGTTCGCATTAATTTGGAGTTTTGTCGGGCTACCTGATCATTGTAACTCCAGTATTTACTTTTAGTGCTGTTTTGGTCTCCACCAAGCCCCCAGAAAGAGTGCCGGGCTTTGAGGCCAATTTGACAGAGTGATCAAACCATGTAATGACAGTAATGGCGTCCATTATGTGATGCACATGGGCCCCAGACGACTTTTTCCCATAAGCTTACATTGTGACGAATAACTATTTTGATTTGATTTAATTTGATCTATTACGTTGAATAACATTTAGAAAAGTCTAGAAGAGCCACACAATTAAATCATTTTATCCCCATTCAAGTTAGCGGAGGGCTAAACTGGAAGTTAGCACCTCGGCCGCGCTCGGCTGGCAGAAGTCTCTAGTACGCTTACTCTATGCATATGCAGTAGATTTGGGAAATTTTATATGGCTAGTTGCTAACTTTGTTGGTCTGGTCTTGGTCAAGTAGTGTGGAAAACTGCCTTCTGCTTCTAGAAAAGATGGCAATGAGAGAGAGCTGAGAGTGACCCAAACAGTAAAGTTGTGGGGCATAAAACCAAATAAAAGGAGCTGAAAGAAGCTCCAAAGAACTGAGAGAAACTGCTGACTCAGTGTTGGCTCGTCACTACGAATTACTTTTTCATATTATACATTGTCATTTCATCCTTTTTTGACATAGAAATACAGATTATAGTGGTTTTAATGTTGGGAGAAGAGGAGAATAGAGAAAATGTCTGAATGTCTGTATGAATCTGGCACATGTTCATTTTGCCCATTCAGGCAATTATATGTGGAATTTGGCTAAAATGTGTCTTTTATTTAGACTAAATTTAGGGGAATGAAGACCATTGCCAGTCTCTGATAATGTCTCTGTTGGACTCACTGAATGGACACACTGGTTTTTAATAAGGTGTGCTCCGTGGTGCAGTAGAGCACGGATTTACACACTTCCTGCTCTGTATTTTGTTTACCCCCTCCAGTACACTGTGTGCCCTGTTGATAACCAGTAGGAAAGACTCAGTGGAGATAAGGAACATGAGTGGGCATTACAGAGCTGATGGCGATAATAGCTTAATAAAAAACAAAGTAAATTGACAATCATTATCAAGGGCTGCAATTATTTTCCTCAGAATTAACCTCCTGTCCCTCTTTAATTAAACAGAACGTACGACTAAGTTTCTAAAGCTCCAGACACAAACTATTTCTACATGCAGAGCGTAAAGTAAGGAAGATCTCATTGACATCACTAACACCATTTTATTTTCTTCTTTTTTTTTTATACATAAATATTCCTGTTTTAAATCACTGATGATTACCACTACTGTTGTAATGGTCCAGCTGCCTCTGTGTATCATATGCACTGGAACGTTTTTACCACAATATCAAGGCCCTTGCATGGATAACATCATCTACCACCTACTGGAAGCTCCTCATTGGTTAGAACAGCTCTGCATGCAGCTCTGCTAAATCCTGGAGGAGAAACTGAGTAAGGCTGCAGCTATTGATTATTACCATTCCATTCATCTTTTATTTGTTAGCTCCATAAGAATATTGTGAAAAATGTCTGTTGGAATTTCCCAGAGCCCGAGGTAATGTCGTCAAATGAATGGTTATGCCCCACCAACATTTCACAACCTAATAATATTCAGTTTACAAAATACAAAAAAGCAGCAAATTCTGGCATTTTTGCTATAAATTTCCTTAACCAGTTATTTCGAACCAGGGGGAATGTGTACCCCAGAGGGTAATTCTGCAAGAGTGCATGCAAACTAGCAAGCAGGGAAGTCTAAACATTAAGCTAAAGTAAAGGATAAATGGTCAGAATAGCAAAAAGTAATGGAAAATTGTCGAAAAACTTAGCTAAGAATTTTATAAATGTTTTAATAAAATCATCTAAAAATGAATAAATGGTGGAAACATCCAGCTTGTGACACAAGTAGTTTGACTGCAAAGTTAAACTAACCCTAATGCTCACAGTTCAACTGTATGACAAATATTTATTTATATGATCAATGCTGTTAAATAACATCCAGTTTAAAATCAATGAACACGTTTAGAACATCATTGGTGGTGTTGAGTTCATCTGACAGGACTGTGGCGGTACGTCTGGAAAAAAGGTTGGGTACAAGTTCAATAAATGATTAATCACTTATCAATATAGTTGCAGATTATTGTTCTGTCGATTGACTAATCAATTAATCGACTTATCTGTGATCGGAACATTATAAAGGTGTTAAAGAAGGGAAAGGGACTGATTTCCTACTCTGACCTGTTTGATAAATACAGGCCCGAACTGACATTTATTGCGTGTAAAAGTCATGCCAGACAAATGCAGGGGCCATGGTAACCATAGTAACCGCAACACACTACGTTGACATTTCATTAGCTGTCTGCCAGGGTTAATCATAATCAATTAATCGTCGATGTCATCCGTCGCACAGAAACATCAAACGTTCTCCGGGTCCAGCTTCTCTAATGTGAGGATTTCCTGCTTTCCTCTGTTTTTATATCATTGCTAATTGAATATCTTTGAGGGTTTGGATCGTTGGACAGACAAAACATGCAGGTTGACCGCTGTGAAATCGCAATTCTGCAGAGTCTGTCAAAGTCTGGCGTTTGATTCACCAGGCGATTAGTCGAGAAGATTCATCGAAAAATAAAAATAAGAGAGGGAGGTCAAGCAGGGACACAGCAGTAAGTGCAAGTTGTGAGTTGGTCACTGTGTATTCTGTTTGACTCTTTCCTCCTCTGTTCTACTCTACGTTTGTAACAACAACAACAACAACAAAAAAGTAGATATTTGGACCACACAGTCTTTCATTGATAAACACACACTTTCTGTCCTCTGTCTATGGTATATTTTTCTCTCTACATTTCTATTCTGTTCCATCTCTCTTCTTTCTGCAACTTTATTCTCCGTCCATATTCTATTCTACTCTACTCCATTCTACTCTCCGTTCAGACCCTGTACTCCAGCTTTAAAGAGACACACCCATCTCATTTGCATGCCCGTCGCTGATTGGCCGCTGAGCTGCCAGATGGAATGTGAGCAGGCATGCAGCAGTGTCCCGTTTGTGTGTGTGTGTGAGTTTGACTGTATGTGGAGGAAAACTACTCTTCTACTGTTTTACTGAGCACTATAGCTGAGTTCACTTCAGTCTCATCACACACACACACACACACACACACACACACACACACACACAGTAACCTCAGGTCCCTCCTCTCTCACTCTCAAAGGTTGTTCAAGTGAAGCCAAACACAGCCAACCCACTGCAGCCACACATCACCACATGAAGCCAAATACAGTAGAGAACATTGCCATTTTCTTATCTGTGGCAGCCAGGGTTATAGCATAATGACATGATGTTTTCAGGTCTCTCACAACTGCAATTTCATTTTACACTGCAAAAAAAAAAAATCTACATCTTAACCAGTCCCGTAGTCTTTTATTGACATTTACTGTCTTATATAAGGCCATATGTCTGCCAATGGAGTGAGATTATTTCAACAATTCAAGATTATGCCAGAGTTTTTGTATGTTTTAACCCACTTCCTTTATTAGGTTTTCAAAAAACATAAACGATACATAACTATAATAATATACAAATATACACAAGACTAACAAAAAATAATTCTAATAAAAATCACAAATAATTTAGAAGTCATTATTTTCTACTATATTCTGTAACATTTCACATGATTGAATGTAGCTAATAGTCATTTTAAGTTTTGATTAATCTGCGGATTCATTTCCCACAGACCATGATATCTTGTTTTGTCTGAGCAACAGGCGAAAACTGTTTATGATCATGTATGACAAAGAAAAGCTTCAGATCCTTTTGACTTTGCAGACGCTGGAACCAGCAAAGTTTTGCTGTTTCTGCTTGAAAAATGAGATTTAATCGATAATCAGAAGGCAAATTTTCTGTCAATAGATGAATTTACATACTGTAAGATGATGATGTGTTTGCTTTTAGGTAACAAAACTTTTAAGTTATTTATGACTTGAAAGCTATTGACTGTGATGGAGTGAGTTGAAGTCTGCAATGATTGATTGATTACAAGAAAGTAGAATCAATGCAAAGCTACTTGCACTCCTTTAAGTGTAATGATTAATGATTTTAATATAGAAAATTCTTGAAAATAGGGAAACATATCTCATCACTGGATGGCATTTTCCTTGTTTTAGAGAATACTTCTTGAACAGGATGCGGTATCAGAACCAGTTATAAATTGGATTTATATGAATAAAGTTTATATGAAATGGGGGGCCGCTTGGTCCTGATTCCTGCAAGGTTTGGACCTACCGTCTACATTGCCAGCTACGTATGTACAAAAATGGAGCCATTGCTAAATGCTAATGCTAGGACATCTATAGGAACAGAAATGCATAGCGGTGTAACGGCACACAGGAGTCAAACAGGGCCACGTTGCTGCTATTGTGCATGCTGGCTCACTGGAGAGGCTCTGCTAAACTAAATGGAACAGGACCTTAATTAGTATCATTGGTAACACCTGGGTTTACCCAAATATTTCATGCTGTGAAAAATTTCAACAGTGTTGTGCTAACCTCAGCACATGTTGCTAACATGTGGCACACGGCTAAAAGCTTCCCCGCGCTTGTGAACTTTGGTTCCGCGTTATGTGCATCATACCGTGTAGGTCTGTGTGTAGTTACCGCAACGAATTCACAAAGCGTTGCAGCCCTAGTAAATCAGGACAATCACTGTTTGTTTATTGCAGCATAAATCTGCAGAAAATACGCGTTTTTTGATGTCAACATGATTTGGTTCCTTTCTCTTACACATTAACTTTTTTTGGCCTGCACATGATGTTCTGAAGAGTTTACGATGGTTTCCACTGCAGCGCTCTTGCCATAATGACATGAAATCTTTGGCCTGGTGCTCCATGCAGTTTATCCCCTGTGCGTTCCTTCATCACTGTATCAGTGAGAGTAAATATTCTTTCTGTTGTGCACGTGATGGATTTGCTGTATCATTGTTAAGGCGCAACAGGCTCCACTTCTGATTATCTTAATGGCACCAAACTCCACATGCAGACCGGCGTCGGTGATTTGATCTTTTTCTGCCTATTTCACCTGAACCAGTAAGGCATCCAAATGAAAGGAGAGGAGAGAGATATGTTGAGACTCAACACTGTTAATTACAGGCATAACAGAGTCACTCTCTGCTTTTGTAATTACTCCTTGTGTCTGTCTTTCCCAGCTCTTTTCCCTGTGTGGTTTACATCTCAGCCCCATCCCCCCTAATGACACACCACCACTGAAATAAGCTATGAAAACTGTCAACTGCTTTTTAACACTGTTTTCCTCCCTAATGTGATTCTTTTCCCAGCAGAGAGGGTTCAGGTAATGAAAGGTCCAGACCTCTGTTGCTCTGTTCACACTGACTGCAGCTGTTCCAGCAACAGCCGTCTAGCACTGAACCACTCTGGGCTCATTAAACTCCCGTCCTAACAACAATGACAGCATCCACTGTATATTTAGCTCCATTTCAAAGCTGTGCTATAGAGTGTTTTACAAGACAAATAATCCCCCAAAAAAGGCACACATTAGACAATAAGATGAACTATAACATTTGCCACTGATGAATGTCAGGTGGTTTAGATGTGATGCAGGGTCAGCATCAGCAATTCAAATATGGAAAATGGTCCACTGAATGTCTCTGACCAAACCACTGCTGGGACAAAATGATAGGCTAACATATTATCTGCATTCAGTCTGCCTGATAAATGAACACTGCAGCCGCCACAGCAACAATTGGATGGTGTGATTACATGCAATTCTGTCTCATTTTCTGTTCTTTTCCTTAATAATGTTAATCTATCTTATAATATTGTGCTGTTTTTATAGCCATAATAGCTTTTTATAGGTTAAATCGATTCCGAAGCTCCCCCATGGCTTAAGGGTTAAGACACCAACCATGAATTGCAATAATCCCAGTTAGTATACATGTATATACTATACTATACTATACTATACTATACTATACTATACATATGACTGCAGAGGAGGACGTTGTCACTGCAGTATTGATGAATGTTTGGAACTAATCTGTTTGATCCCAAAACAAACAGGTATACGGTCAGGGTACATTGACCCACTGCCATGGGTACATCATCATCATGCCAGGTGATGAATAATAGGATGATTAGCCTCAAACAGGGCTGTGCTGGTAGTAGTGGAGAGTAGATGTATCACAGGCTCCAGGCGTGTTGGAGGGTAGCAGGTGGATAGCACTAGGGTCCCTACTGTGCTGTAACTACTGGAGCTAAACAGAAAAACTTCAGCCAAGTACTGCAAATGGAGCTAAATATAAATTAAAGGGCCACCGCTGGAACTCCAAGAGGTAAATAGTATATCGTAAAATGCCAGCACTGCTAGCAGAGAGCAACAGAAGGCTAACACTGTTGGTCTGATGCAGCTACTGGAGCTAATTTTAGGTCACACTAAATTGTGTCAATTATGGGGCTTCGTCTGCTCCGTCTCCCTCCCTGCACCTCTCCCAGCCTCGAACCCACTTCACCCACATTTCTCCATATGGGAAACTTTCCACTGTTTATTTTTGAGTAGCACAGTTTAAATGTGACCTATATTCCCCAATTGGGCAGAGTTAAAGGGCAGCGCCAGGGTTATTTAAAGGGATATTATTCCAACATTTAATGCAGCAGGAAAACAATGCCGCTCTGTCAGTGTTACCAATCCTTTATGTGGGTGCGTCTGTTTATGAATAATAATAATAATATAATAATATGAGTAGTTCACTCGTGTGTACACACCTTGTTGAACAGTGGTTGGTTTACCTTTTCTTGAGCTCAGCTGAGCCTTGAGATTCAAATACAAACATTAATATGGTTCCTTGATTGTGTTCTTTCTCAATTTGTAGCAAAAAAGTGAATCCCCTCTGGTTAGTCTCCCATCCAGAGAAATGGTGTAAGTCACAGGTGTCCACAGGGGCCTGCAGGCACCAGGGCGTTAAATGACATTTAAAGCAACATTATGCAACTATTTTACCTTAAAGGCATACTATGCAGGATTTATTCTTTGCTGTTTGTAAACGCACCTTTTAAAGTTGGCCTCTCCTCCACAGCTCGAGCAGGCTGAGCTGAACCACATAGAGAGTGAATGAGGAGAAGAAGCGGCACTAGTGAGAACAAAGCTTTGAATCAGAGAAATAAAAAATTATTTTCTGATTCTAGCGCAGCATCATCCTGTAAATGGACCTGTACTTGTATAGCGCCTTTCTAGTCTTCCGACCACTCAAAGCGCTTTTTACACTATGAGCCACATTCACCCTTTCACACAGTGATGGCAAAGTCCATTGAACAGAAACTAACATTCATACACACTCACCAATGCACGGCATCAGGAGCAACTTGGGGTTCAGTATTTTGCTCAAGGATACTTCAACATGCGGCACCAGGAGCCGGGGATTGAACCCACAACCTTCTGATTAAGGAACAACCCGCTCTGCCTCTGACACAGCCACCCATCCTGTTTGCCCTCTGTCAATCCGACAGTGACACACAGACTTGCAGCTTGTTACGCATCCGTGACACAGACAAGCGACAGTCCTGACCTTTGCGTGCTGCCCAAAGGTTGATGCCTAGAAACGATCCGAACACAACAGAATAACAAAATTCTGGCAGAGGGCAGACACCGCCTTGAAACTATGGATGTCCCGTTATCCGACATACAACACTAGAAAAGAAGACAAATAGAACCTGGGACACAAAGATACAGTGTCTGGGTCAGTAGAGAAAGGTATCATCACAAATATTATTATTACATTATTACATTTATACGTCATACTATTAGGTGTTCTAATTTGATAAATAGGAGGTAGCATTAACACGAACTCTATGTCAAACACAATCAATAGAGAGCCAACTTTGCAACTTTCTCGCTAGATTTAGTGAACAGGCTGTCAGTAGGTGAGGCATGTTTGACCTTCTCACTCTCTCTGGATCTCTAGAATCGGGTGTTCCTACAGCTTAGCCTGCAGCACGTCACCCGCGGCTCTTCATCTAACAGCTCAGTGTGACTGATCTTTCTTATTGCATTTCTCCCTTGCAAAAATTGAAAATGATCTGCTGACGAAAATGCTGGATCACCATGTCTTGCTTTGTAGACACTGGCAGCTCTTTCCTCTCACTGCTTCAAAATAAAAGCCTGTGTTTAACCAGTTATAATGCTTTTAACGTTAACAGTTGGAAATGCATAAGCAGTAACTTGATACAGCTCTAATACGAGATTGCACACATGCCTCATTGCCTGTTAGTCACTTGTGTGTAGGGAGGTAATTGGAAATTCAGCGGGGGAATGACGGATTCCACTCTGACAATGAAACCTATTACTTAGAGATTACAGAATGCAAGTAGATTGAATGGCTATGGCTAAAATGGCCCTAAATAACATCAAAAATGGGGTTTGACTGGGGTGTTGAAAACTCAACAAAGTTCACAGTTAACTTTCATAACATCAGCAGTTCTTTATGTGTCATGTTGGGTCTACCTTGTGTGTGTGTGTGTGTGTGTGTGTGTGTGTGTGTGTGTGTGTGTGTGTGTGTGTGTTTTGGGGGGGGAGTGAGTGTGTGCTTACTCCACAAGCTTTTATTACACAGCTGCATGTGTCCCAGAGTTTCACCAGACACACTTGACCTCCTAAAACGCAGTCATAAATACAGACACACACACTGAGATAACGCATGTGTGAAAGTTACTTGAAGTGGGAGCATTCAGTTGCACTGATGACTTTGATGTGTGCATATAATTAAAAAAGTATAATGAAGCCAAGCAAATAAAAGCCAAACACACCTTTTTTAGCAAGTCCAATCGTATTCTTTAGTGCCTGGCTGTCAGTACCACCTGACAGCCTTAATTCAGGGAAAGAAATTCCCTAATAAATGCAAAACAATTCAACTTTGCTAACTATGTACATACCTCTGACTACAACTGTAGTGCTCACAAACTGCTGGCTTTTTAGGTATCACAGTAGAACCATGCATTAAAATGTTTCAAACCTTTAATAAAGCTCCATAGAGCTGAGGGGAACTGCAGAGTTGGATGACAGTCTCTTCGAGCAAGCCTTTCATTCCTCCGCTGTTGATAGAAAAAATATTGAAGTTAGCTCTGAATTTATTATCCCAGTCGTGTCTTTATTGTTGCTACCGGCCCGATTTAATTTGCTATGACACTTCTGGCAGTTTTTGGAGAAAAGCTTAAGCTAATTTCTAGGAATAAAACATGTAAATCAATTTTTGTATTTCTTGTTAATTAAATCAAGTTATTTCTGTCGCTGTGTCTGTGTGACTGAGACGCCTCCAAGCACAGTTGACTGAGTGCAGTTGATTGGCTCCAATAAATCCATCTGTGTGTGTGTGTGTGTGTGTGTGTGTGTGTGTGTGTGTGTGTGTGTGTGTGTGTGTGTGTGCCTTTGTACTGCTTTGTGCATGTTTGCTCAAGACCAGGGTGACTCATATTGTGTGTATGTGTGTTTGTGTGTGTGTAAAGCAGTGAAATCAGAGCACCATGCTGTCCCAGGCTTCCAGAACATCAAGTCTCAGCTCAGTGACTCATTCATCCAGACTGAGGATGAATCTATCAGTGCTGTTTCCCAGTGACTGACTCTTTATGCCATCAGCACAGTCTAGGTTGGCTGGTCTCTGACTCTGAGAGATCTGTTGTAGGTCTGAAACACGTAGTCGATCATTTGAATAGTTTATCGACAGAAAATTAATCTTAAGTCATCAGTCTTGCAGAAACCTTAACTTTTCACTCACATTCACAGATTGCTATACCCACAAATGCTGCATGTTGTCCGCCGTGTTTTAGCTGGTTGCAATCTGTAACTTCACTGCTAAATGCCACTAAATCCCCCACACTGGTCCTTTACAGCTGGAGTACTGACCCGTGGATGAAAAACACTGATCCACGTTGCATCAAATTGCTTCATGTTGCCTCTTCTGGTTGTGTCATGTGCTAAGAAAAATATTCCAGTGGGTTTTAAATGGTTTAATTAGCTTAAGAAGTACCCTCAAAAGTAAACCTTATCCTTCAGTTTATCTGAAAATGTTAAAATGAACAGATATATGGTTTTCATCGGACAGCAAATTGTTCTAATAAAGACTAGGTGAAGTATTACCAGCTAAAGCCAAAAGCAGACATGGAACCAAGCCAGTCTCATGTCTTTGAACTCAAGTCCCAAGTCCTAAACTTTAAGTCCTAAATAAGTCACAGACCAAATATAATGCAAGTTTTACAACCCAATGAATGGGCACTCAGAAAGGTAGCATTGGTTTTTCATTGTTCTCTCCTGCAACTTAATTGGATGCTGTCGTATTGTCTAACAAAGTGGATCTGGGGAATTAAGTGTCGTCTTGCTGGGAAATGAATTCAAGGGGAAATTAATTGATTCTTTGCACACTTTTTATATAACATACTTTTTAATCTTTGGGCTTTGAGGAAGGTATCAAGTATTTTGAAGTCAAAAGTCTAAGTGAAGTCACGAGTCATTCGTGTTAAAGTTACAGTTGCAATTATTTTTAAATTTTTTGAAGTCAAACCTAAAGTTATGAAATTTGTGACTCGAGTCCAAGTCATGTGACAGTATACGACTTAATTTGGAGTGGTAACTGACTAATTTGTATATAGTTTTTTTTTTTTTTTTTTCATTATTTTACAAAATAAAATAACTCTTTCTGTCTCCATGTCTTTCGTCATGTTTCCAGCCTTTCTCAGGTGACCAGATGGACGACTTCAGCAGCGAATTATTCAGCAGTTTCTTTGATGACCATCTATTAGAGCGACCCCTTCTGGCAGACAGACCCTCACTTTGTATGGACATAGACAGCAGCCCAGGTCAGCTCCTCTTCTATTATAATGAATTATCATGAAAAGAATGCACATGGTACTTTCCTCACAGCTCCTCACAGTACTAAAATAAAAGAACACTCTTTTAGTATTGGACAAAAAAATGAATATATGCAGTCAATATAAATGCACCAGGAGTTAGATCACAGTGGTTGTTCCTTCCAATAACATTTCTACAAAAATTCCCAGTTATTTCCAGTGTAGCGATTAAAATCTTACAGTAGTTAACCAAAGGTGGTTGGTGGAACCCTTTCCCAGTGCCCAACCACTGTCTTGAATATGTTTGCCTTGAAAGTCTTTTCGGCCCAAGAATACCAAAGTTTTCCTCTCTGCAGCTAATAGTGACATTTAGATGACCTTCTCATTTACTCGGATATGGTCCAGCAGTGCAGCAGCCAGTTGCTCCACTCCTCACTTAATGTCTCAGAAGAAAAGACCCCAATCCCATTATTTGGTTTGATTCGAGAGCACAAAGTCTGCAGGGACACCAACCATATCAAGTTGTAACTTCCCAATCACTGACATCAACCCTGGCTCAGTCCTCCACAGAGAGGTCAAGTTCCACCAAATGAAAGCCAGCATCTGTTGCCAAAGTATGCGACTTCCAAAACTCCTTCCTTTAAACCAGAAGGAAACACACAAGACTCCTACCCCTTACCTAGCAGGTGCTGGGAATGTTGAAGAGGAAGCACCGAGTTGTCGGATTAGGCTACAACTGGCTGAGTTACCACAAGGCACAAAGGAAAATGCCAGAGCTGAAGGATTGGTCCCAGCTTGCTGCACACAAATCAGTGTCCCTGTCAGGCCTTGCCATGGTTACTCAGACTTTCATGAAGTGATTGGACTTTTATGTTTTAGGAGATAATAAATCAAAATTTTCAGCGTGTAAAACATAAATGTCCCGCCCCTTTTCAACATGCTCCTCGTTACATAAATGTGAAGGCCATTAAACATGTCAGTATCATGTTAAATAAGGGCCAGAGTCACTTTCACAGTCACAACGGCGATCTTATTAGATTGCACCTAGTTACATTTCTGTAACACTTTCAACACACTTAAATGAATGCAAAGGCAAGAGCAGCACAAGCTAAAATACACATAGAGAGTGCTTAAATGCATGTCTTGTTCAGCCTAAGCAAGAGCACTGCAATACATTCGTCAATCAATTATCATATCTTAAACACAAAGAAAATAAAATTGGTTTAATAAACAACAAAACACAGTTAATGAGGTGATTTTAAGTTGAGATCATTCTTTTCATGTCATCAGGCTGTAAAAATATTTTTTCCCCCTCATGGTATGGATTAAAAGAGACAAACAAATCCCCTCTCGCAGTGTAAATCAGGCCAGCACTCCCTCTTTATAGGCTGTTTTCACTTCCCATTGCCAACTGCATATCATCACTCACCGTCGGTGATCACTTTAACAGGTTGACGATGAGAGCAATGTTACACTTTCCTGAAAAGGGCTTTTTGAATCTCACAGATATTCAAGCAGAGCACAGCTACTCTTTGAGTGAAGACTCCGCCCCCCAGAGCCCAGCCCTGTCAATCAAAATGGACCAAGAGTCTGGTAGGTCATCCTTTTCATTATAAGGCTTCTAAAGACTAAATCTTGTCTTTCGTTATCTTAGTTTGTGCTTCCTGGAAAAATGTACAGCCAACCAAAACTCTGCTGCTGATGTTTAGTCTGGTTCTTTATCACAGCCCTGGTTATCTAGTTGGCTCAGGATTATATTTGACATGCAGTCTGACCCTGTCTGCTGTCTGTCAAATAGTATGAACTCTGACTGGCTGAATCTACTGTCTGTTATATAATGTGTGTGATGATTTGCCCTCTCATTCCCAGGCCCAAAACCTTTTTTGGATTGTCAGCCATTCAAAGTCTCTTTTTGGTTTCAGATAGGGATGTATTGCACATTGTCCTTTTCAGAACAACCAGAACTGTTTGAAAATGAAGCTTTATGTAACGTGAATAGCCTCGGTCAACTTTCTTCTTTTCTGTACTTAGATATGCCACATGCTAGGCTCGTCTACCAAATTGTAAAGATTGGTAAAAGATAAAAGCGACAAATATTCATCTATAGTCATGAAATCAAATCAAGCTTACTTATGATTAATATAAATTAGCTAGCTAGTTAGCTAGCTTTTATCTTTAATCTTTTAACCATCTTAAAAATAGCACATAGCATATCTAAGTACAGGAAAGGAGTACTTAGGGTCAGATTGCTCAACTGAACCATGGAGCAGAAAAGGGGCGGGACTTAGGAAGGGTCAATTCACTGTTAAGTTGAATGGGACACAACCAAATTTTGATGCTCACATGTCAATTGGATCATTACAGTAACACATAAAGAGTGGTTACTAGCAAGAATGATAGCTCATCTTGCTTAGAAGGATTATTGATATGTTGATTGACAGCAAGATAGGCCAGTCAGTTTGTTTGCAAGCCTTATTTAAAGAGTAGGCGGGGCGCCGGCGTTCCTCTGGGACTAATGTTGTCGTATATAAGAGGTGCCTGTAGGAGCAAGTGTGTGCTCCAGTGTGATATAAAAATGCTGTGTTTCACATGTTCACTTCCTGCTGTCTTCCTCTCCCTTTGTGACTAACCTTCCTCATTATCTCCTCCTGTCTCCTTCTCGACCGTGTCTCTGCCCGTCTTCCTCTGTCTCCGTCTGTACCTGTCATCCTCACTCTGTCTATCTGCTCTCCGTTTGTCCCGGGGATCCTGCTGTCTGAGCAGCAGGATCCCAGTCTGAGCAGTTTTCCTCCAGCTAAGCCCTGCCCACCTAGCACACACACACACACACACAGACGCACACACACAGCGCTATGACAAGCATATGGTTTTGAGTCTGCAGCTTTAGCCGAAGCCAGCGGAAACTCTCTTTCTCTCTTCTGTTAGGTTATCTCTCTCTCTCTTGCTCACTCTCTCTCTTTTCTTCCTGTCTGTATATAGCTCTCTCTCTCTCTAACTCTCCTGTTTTCTATCTTTCTCCTCTTCACTCTCTCCCTTAATCCAATTAAATCCATCTATGAATATCAGATTACCTGTGTTGCCAAAATACCACATTGAGCAAAAAAAACCCGTCTAGCTCACATTAAAAAACAACCATCTGGCTTGTGTATTGTTTTCGGTTCACTGTGAACTATAATATTTATTTATATCATATTTTACCCTTTCGAGAGAATATAAAAACATCAGACTGAATGAATCAGTGTTATGTAGAGTTAGAAACACTGTAGTTAGGATTGAAATGTACACTGATGCCAGAGCAAACTGGATCTTATAAAAACTAAAAGGACATATTAAAGCACTCACCATCAACATAATATATTACTGAATAAAACAAAACATTTAGACAGCTTTGCTTTCATGATGAGTTTATTTATTTCCTCATTCATTGCTTCAGTCTGTAGTTGCATAACTGTCATCTCAAGCTCACATATGGAACACACACACACACACACACACATACACACACACACACACACACACAGAAACCTATATATCATATGTATTTGAATCCATTCCAGCCTATTTGATATTGAACTTTATCCAAAATGCATTTTACAACCTGAATCCGCTCCATAAATCCTGACTATAAACTTTGGGATACTTACTTTCCACCAATTTTACACTGTACTTTAGTGTATTCACTGCACAAATGGATCATTCTATTTATATATATTTGCACAACATGCAGTTTATGAGCTATGTTTTTTTCACATTAGAGGGAGGTGATATATAGCAGAGCTTTAAATAGAAATAGTATATGTACTGACTCAGATATCTTGTGCCAAGCCAACTCTACAGAATGGTGCAACCTTCTGTTTTCCAGCATGTCTTCTAACCAATCAGATGAGGGTTTACTGCATGCAGTGTCAGTGAAGGAAAGTCTGTTTGCATGGTGCCATTTCAACATGTTGTTTGTGGTTAACAGCACTGTTCCTTGACATAATTTATAACACTGAGGCAATCTTCTGCAATCGTCGCCCCCCCCCTTAAATGCTGCTCTGCACTCAGATTTGGTGAGGGGGAATTGAATGTCTGATTAAGCCACTTGTGGAACATTTGCTACATAGTTTTCATTTCCAGATTTAGCGCTTCGCTTTGTTCCCATTTCCTCTGAAAAATATGTTGTCACACAGCCCGACTGTTAGCTGCCATTTTGGCACGAGAAGTATTTTGACAGGACTGTTGCAGCTGAAGAGATGATCCTGTCATGGAGTGTCACCGTAATAACGGCATTTCAGCGTTTGACAACCGTTGCACCGTTAATAAGGTCTGGAGAAGGCAACTTTGTTTCAGTACATGTACGATATATGCTTACACATATGCGGGAAAGGCAGAAGGTTCTGGCAAGAGTTGCACATGAATACCTTTTTACAGGTCCTCTCGGCTGCCACTGAGAGCAGCGCACGAGGAGCAGCTGCTTGTTTGTCTTGATAAGTCAGGTTAATTAACCACCTAGGGATGTCAGAAGTTGTTGACCTTTCAGAAAGGTTTGTTCTGAATGAAGGAATTTGTAGATCATATTTTGTTCTCTTGGACAACAACATAGAGAGCAATTTAAAGTTCTGCCCAATCACAATTATAAGATAGTATGTTAAGCAAGGGATGCTCCAGTCACATATCAGTTGCAGAACAAATTTGGTGGCTTTACCAGCGGTCACTAAATGTTTTTACAGGAAACTGCCAGATAAGAGAGCAAAGAGCAAAATCTGCTACTTTGGCCTCTGCACCTCAGTGTAAGCCACATTACAAAGTCTCAAATCTCTTTTGGGCTAAGCCCTGTTGAAAGCATCATACTAAGTTTGTAGCGATGGCAAAAAAAAATTATTAATGGTATCTTTAATACTCTATTGTAATACTTACAATAATTTAAAATGAACTCAATGTGTTTGATCAAACCCACTGGGGCAAAAATGATGACCTGATACAGTGCTGAAACCCAGACACCAACCAATATTTGTGTACTGGAATATTACCTCATCCCAGGTTTACAGTTTGTAGTAGTTTGATTATATAAACTACTACTATAATAAAGTTGTTCGAAATAGATTTTGACACAGTACCTCCACAAAATAATGCCACAATATGACATAATAAAGCTTAATCTAGTTGATATTGTACTTTGGTGATGTAAATTCCAAAACAAATTTGCAAGTAATCAAAACACAGAAAAGGCACCAGACACACAGTGAACCTGGGGCTTTTGGGGCCCCTGGAAATCTGGGATCCGGAGCCAGTTTATCGCTCTTTCTGGTTGGTAATCCTCCAGTGATTATGTTTGTTTGTAAAGTTGATACTACTGAGTTTAATCTAAATTCTAACGATGGCAACGGTGGAATCGGTCACTTATGGAGTATGAAGGACATCTTCAGCCATTTTAAATATGTTTCTTGCAGCATATGTTTGTCGTTTACATATTATTGATACTCTGATATAAGTTTTTCACTTTCTTGTCTTTGTTTTCCTCCCTCACCCTCTCCCTTTCTCTCTCTCACCCTGTGGTCTTAGTTGGTCTTATTCACACTCAAAGAGAAGCTGTGTGTTTTACTGCAGCTCATACTGTGCTGCTCCATCTATTGTTTTAATACTCCTGCTGTCCCACTGAGATCAAACACAGTCACCACCTCTCCTCCGTTAACCCCCCCCTGTGATCACTGCCAGGAGCCTCTGGTCATTAGTCATTGCCCTATGATAGGATCTCTTACCGGGGTTTACTAGCAACACAGGCAGACTTTCTTTTATTAAGAGGATGAGGTTTTTTACTGTATTACCTTCATCAACAGCATCTTTTACATTTAGCTGACAGTGGACAACACTACAGAAATACAAAACAGTATGTCTAAAAAGATGCTTCAAGCCCATCCTGTAGTGTTTGATAAAGTTTTAATCAGTATATTGTTACATTTGAATTTGAATTGTGGGGTATGTGGACTGCATCTCATTTCACTTCATTGTCCCATTATTTAGAAAATGTCCTCGGGCTAAGGTTGAACAATTATCCGATTATTTTGATTAAATTGGGATCATCAGCGCCTTATCATTTCTGTTCATGTTATATGTATGAACACAATACTAAATGCTTATTGATGCCTTTTTAATACCCCATTTTCTTTATCATTATTGTGCAAAATAAAATAAAAAATGTCATATGAGAAGTTTTTCTCCTTTTCTCTCAGTTTTTGTCAATTATGCCGTAAAGGACCAGTGTGTAGGATTTAGTGGCATCTGCTGTAGTGGTGTAGTTGCTGATTCCATTACCCTCATCTCACCCTCTCGTTCAAAGTGTGTAGGAGAAACTACCACAGTGGTTGGTTAGTTCGGTCTTGGCCACTGTAGAAACATGGCGGACTCTGTAGAAGAGGAGTCTCTCTGCAGTTAAAAATGGGTCGTTCAAAGGTAATGAAAACACAACAATTGTCAGGTGATTATACACTAATGAAAACCATACATATCAATATTATATTCCATTTCTGACAATAGATCCTCCTAAATGTTACACACTGGACCTTTAATGAAGCCAACATGCAAATCAAAGCAAAACTCCTCCGTTGTAGTCCATATGAACTTCTTGATCTTTATTGAGTAGACCAAATAGTATTATATTTATATATGAAGGAAAGAGAACAAAAAAACGGTCCACAATCATGTACAACTATAGAAGAAAAGGGTAAAAAAATGTATTCTTTTTAATCAAACTTCCCCTCAACACTGTCAAATGATGTGTCATTCTGTCTTTGATCAACCTACCAGAGTGCAGCCTTCCTATGCTCTGGCTAGCAGCTAACTAGCTCTGGTATTCATTAAGAAACAGTGGTAGAGGGCTTCCAATCAAGCCCTGGCTTAACAAGGGCAGGAGGCTTAACGAGGCTCTGGGAAGCAGCAGGACGGGCCTCATTAGGAGAGGCCTCTGAGGGTCGTACTTACAGAGAGGATGTGGGGAATTGGTAGAATGGTGGATCCACCCCAAAACTGAATTCACACGCTTAAAAATGTACTCAGTGGTTGATTGATCACCGTGCTGATCAATGACATAAGTGACATATTGGAGGTAGCAGTGAATGGGAAAGTAACTCTGGAAAATTGGGCCATTATAAAATTGTTACTTATCTGGTTGGTTGGAGTTAATACTGCAGCTGGGTTTTCCATGCTATGGCACCACAGTGATAAACATCGAACATGTGACAGCTACATAGGTTTAACAGTTTCCATCACTGTATTTTAATCCAATGGGCTAACGGCCAGATTTTGATTTTAACAATATATCACCTATATTAGCTACTATGTGTTCCTGTCATCGACACCACAGATTGCGGTGTTGAGTTTGCAGGTAGTGACTTTAGGGTGTGTAAGACAGCAGAAAGAAGCCATTTGATTTTAGGATGGACTCTCTCCGTGCTGACCCCCGCTGTAGTGATGGACAGGATAAAAAGAAGCTACCAGCTCTCTGACGGGCACACACCTCCACCACCCCCTGCTTCTCCCCAGCACACACAGCTTGTAAACTTCAGAGCATTTTACCAGCAGAATGTTGCTAGGAAACCAGGCGGTGATTAAAATGACGTTCACTCCCAACGCGCACACACACATACATACAGCAGCCCTCACCTTGTTAAACTGCTACTGCTCTCTTTCCACCATGGGAGCTTTTTGGTAGTGTGAGTGTGTGTGTGTGTGTGTGTGTGTGTGTGTGTGTGTGTGTGTGTGTGTGTGTGTGTGTGTGTTGTGACAAACATCAAAGTGTCTCTGGGTGTTTATGTCTTATTCTAAAATGAAAAGATGCTGACTCAGTGAAACATAACACACTCCTCCTTCTGGACTTGCAGCTACTTTCTGGTTGCTATTGGCCTCTAAAAGGTTATGTCATAGCCCAGAACGTGGTTTCACTTTTCAATTTAAAGTTTAATGCTAAAAGTTTCAAACTTTGACATTGACTGTTAGGTGGACTGGTTTGGAGGAGTGCCTAATCAGATTACCTTTAAAAGGGCCTTAATTGAAAGCATACATAGTTAACATTCAACCCTGGTAGACCCATCATTAGAAACTCTTCCTGTGTGGACAGGGGTAGTCCAAATAAACCGACCGTTATTTTGAATAAAAGACATCTACGTCCTTTCCATTTGATGTTAAAAATGTGTTATCTAACTTTACAGCACTGGAAAGTTTTCAGTGGCACACTTTAATCTTCCATCACAGCGATCGTGAGATAAACAGTAGAATAGGCGTTCATACTACAAATTAATCTACCAGGAATGTGAGTGTGCACATATTTGAAAATGCAACACCTTGCAGGATGACGCTGCATTGCGTTGCAGCTAAAGTCGAACCAGCTACAGCGTCTTCCATGTGATTATATACTACTGAAAACATACCTATGAATGTTGATCCTCCAAAATGTTCCACACTTTGCCTGTAAGGCAACCCCTATTACACTGTAAGAAGTCCTGGAAAAGGCGACGATGTCTAAACATGTTTATTTGGGCCAATTATTTACTGTAGAGTTAGCTCTTGGTATTTGCCCTTAAAATCTCATGGTGTTATTGTGATGAAGTTCAACTTTTGGTTGACTGTCTTTTGTGACATTTTAGAAAATTAATGAATGAATGACTAATGCTGCATTCACATGGACTCAGTCCGACAGAATGACAGCAGGGCAAAATGAAACATGTATGATATGTTGCTATGGTGATGTTGTAGAAAGGAATAAATATATTAAATACAATTATTTTGTGTATATTGTTTTATGTAAGTTATTAATTATTAGTTCTTGTTGTCCAGATTGCCCAGGTTTTCTCCTTCTGTGAGGGAGCTACATAACATCCAGTTTTAAATACTGCTGTGGAGAAAGAAAGTTCAAACATTTTAACTTTGGAGGACAATGCTGTCTACCACTGGTATTCTCTGCTGACCTCAGCTAAGTTTACCATGCACTAGCATGACATCTGGTTTGCTTGACTCCATGTAAATGCAGCATTAAAAGTATGATTCATACTATAGGAATTAATGTCAAACAGAGTCAGGGGGCTGCTACACTAAATTGAACGGAACCTTAATTAGTATCATTGGTAATATCTGGGTTTGTCCTGCTATTTCATGTCAAAATGGCTGCTGTGAAAAAGCTCTGTTCTGTTGGACTCATACTGTCAAATGACTCTTTGCTTGTCATTGATCGTCTCTGATGATTTGTGACGATGTTTGCCCCACAATAAGCATCACTCCCTGTGAGCTTTGGTTAGCCAAAGGTTATTTCAGGAGGTTGGTTGGTGTTGGCGGGGAGGACCGGAGCCTCTTTATCATCTTGCCCACTAGGACACCAAATATACCAGGAGTGCCAGTGACTAACTTTCCTGCAGCCCTGCAGTGGCACTTATATCCCTAAAAATACTTTCTGCAGCTCACAGTAGACTAAACAACGGTGTACCTGGGAGATGCTCTTAGAAATATATCCTCATTGTGTTTTGGTGAACCTCCTTTAAAATTGTACTCTGACCTCATTGTTGGGTCACTCAATTATGCATATTTTCTGCTGTGTTTAAAGGCAGCAACAGTTTCTTTTCTCAGGAAGGATACTGAAGACGAGTTGCTGGTTCAGCCCATCTTTTATTTCAGGGTAGATACACACTCGCTGGAGACAAATTATGCACCACAGTTGCCAGAGCGACGTCGTCCAGCAGTCTATAATGACCAGCTTCGTCAGGAAGTGCTCAAATGTTTTGGGGAAGCTCTTTGAAAGTGTGATTTATAAGCTACCAGTTACTTCCCATTGGAAGACCTACAGCAAAGCCTCCCTGAAGAGAGAGATAGTTAGGGTTACTTAAGTCGTCAGAATGCTGAGGTTCATTCTGCTTTCTGAACAGGGCAAGGAGCTTTCTGGGCTGGATTTAAGGCTTCATTATTACTGAGCTGTTGGCGATATTTTAGTCGTTTTTCACACAAAGAATGTCAACTCAAGGGAAACTAACAAGCTTTTCAAGTATTTCACACAGACGTCATATGTGTGTGACATCTTGTAAGGGGGTCTGGACTTGGCATTGTTTTGTCAAATTGCAACATGTTTGTTCACTGACACACCAGTCTGACCCCTAAGCATGTATGCAACAATCACCAGGTGGATCCCCTGTTCTGCACCATCAAGCCTTCCACTGAATAAAGAGTGGAACAACTGTTCAGGGTTAGTTAGGGTTAGTTTTAGTAACTGACTTTAGAAGGTGGGTCTTCCCTCGCAGGGATTTTAAAGTGTTCCTTGAGTCAAAAATCACTTTTTCTTCTTGTTGCTATCGGTGCTGTTTGAATGATGTCTGTGCAGAGTTTGACTCTAGAAGGATGTTTTCACATTCATCTGCTGAAAGTGGAAAGTTTCTCTGAGCTCATTGAATATCTGATTTTAAGGGGCGGGGCCTACTGACATGATTTGTGATCACAAATAGTTTGGAAGTCAATCCTGGTCCAGTATGCAACTTATGTGTGATGTAACTTGAAACTTGAAGCCACCATTGCACATACACTGAGAATGGACTTTACAGTGAAGTAGGAGACATCTTGTGGGCAGCAGGAAAACAGAAAAAAAAATGTGCATTTGCATAGATTTTGGAATTTTTAATGAGGTTGAAGGAGTAGATCACTTTTGTTGAAATTCTACTTTTTTTTGTACTAATACATGTCTGGAGGGGATCTTTAAATAAAGCAATTCAGCACGGACCTACAAAACACTGCAGTGGTCCATCGCCAAAAGGACACATTAGAACAAAAATGTCTTTGTAAATATATATGTTGGTTTGATGTTAATTTTATGGTATTTTGTCTTTCCCTTAGAATTCGAATGGAACTTCAGTCAGGACCTTTCGGCCATCTTGGTGAAACAGGAAGAGCCCGATGTGGGTCAAAGGTTAGACCCTCAGCCTCTGGAAGGCCCTCCTCTCATACTAAGCCCTGCCCCCCCACACAGAGGGTCGCCATGGAGACACACGGTTAGCATCCACCAGGCCTGCGTCTCAATGCCGAAACACTACAAATTGCTCCGTTGATGTTAAATGGTCAGTTCAAAAGCAATGTTCATCAGCATCGCTGTTGTTTATGTGTTTCCGTAGGAGCGCAGTCAAGACGAAGTGAAGCCAGTGGCCATAAAAGATGAACCCAAAGAGATTGGACAGTACCTCAGCCTGCCCAGCGGTACACACAACACAGACACACCCACATGTTACAGTGGTTTCACAATTCAGTTCAGCAGCAATTAATCTCTATAGGAAGGGACACAAATGTATCCAGTACCAGCAATGTTTGTCTAATCTCTGCAATATTTTTAAGAAAATATGGTCAAAACATTTATTGATTTGAAGGACTTTATTCCCCTGAACTCGATCAGTTTTTAGTGGACTTATTTCCTGTGTTCTTTTCAGCAGCAGAACAGTGTAGAAAGTTTAAAATAGAAAAAAATCATTCAACACCCTCCTCTCCTTTAGACGATGCTCTCCAGCTCCCGCCCACCCCTCCCAGCAGCAACCACGGCGACAGCGACGGCTCCCTCCCTCCCTCCTCCCCACACCTCCCTCTGCCACCGTCTTCCCCTCAACCACAACAGAGGCCAGGAGGTCGTGCCTCCTCCTCTTCCTCCTCCTCCTCTTCCTCCGCCATCTCTTCTTCACCTCTCCTCACTGCACCACATGTGAGTAAAAGAACAAACCCAATCTTGCAGAGTGCACTGCTCAACAGTCGCCTTCACTTTATTCTGCATTATAACAGAACTATGGTAAAGTTAAACGTATCGCATACAACAGGGTTAGCTTAAAATATAATGTATGCCAACCCAACATGTTCTACTAATGGGTTGGCAAAAATATTACGGTGCTAAAGCCCCTCAGTAATTGACCCTTCCTGAGTCCCGCCCCTTTTTACTCTGTGCTCCAATAACAGTTCAGTCAGCTTTTTCCTTTCCTGTACTTAGATATGCTATGTGCTAGGCTTGTCTATGTTGAAAAGACACATTTTGAAGATAGTTAAAAGGTAAAAGCGACATATATATTGTCACATCTTAAGTTAGCAAGCTCATGTTAGCAAAACACTAACTAACTAGCAAATATACATCAATCGTTAGCTCTGTAGTCACATCCAAAGATAATGTTAGCAAAATGTAATAATTACATCAATCGTGAGTTAGGTAGTTAGCTAACATTTTGCTAACATTAGCTAATTTAAGATGAGACTATATGTCGCTTTTATCTTTTAACCATCTTCACAATTCTATTGTTTTTTCAACATAGACGAGCCTAGTACACAGCATATCTAAGTCAAGCGGCAACCTCCGTGGCTGGCAAATGAACCCAAGACGAAGTGCCAAAAACTGCAGTTCCTCGAACGGCCACTTGAAGCTGGCACCAGAAGTGAGTCAATCTCCATAAGGCCCCATATTAAAATGCCCAACTTTACAGCAGAAATAAACATGTTCACAGACCGGTAAAAAAATATGGTTTTGTTTTCAATATCAAATTTATCTGTTGATGACAACTGTATGGGGGGGTCGCTAATCCTTAATTTTTATATAACTCACCTTTTTAAATGATCAAGGTTTAAAGTTTTGCATAATTTAAGGCATGGCCACTTTGAGTGACAGGTGGCTGTTTTCAGTAACCAGGTTCTGACCGAGGCTTGCTCAAATGTTATTAGAGCACAGCGCAAAAAGGGGCGGGACTTAAGAAGGATCAATTGCTAATTTCACTTTTAATTTGAGCTGTGTTAAGTTTCATTTTATTAACATGATTAAGGTCGAAATTGGGGTTGAGATATCGGGGAGGCTTTCATAAAAATCTTTGCAGATTACATGACGATATATTGTTACAGGCTTTTGTGAAATTGTATACGCTGTTTTTATTGCCTTTGTTTACTTACTGTTCTGTCCTCTTTTGGGGTTAAATCGGTCCGATAATGTGCTGACAAAATGGGGCCTATTCAGTGAAATTCAGTAAATTCAGTGTGGCCATTGTTTGTCTGATTCAGCTGCTTTTCCCTGAACAAATGAATCACATTTGTTCTAATGCCATAATGTGATGCCTTATGACCGCATGTTTATACGGAATGGTTCAATGTCAGCAAAAATGTTTGATTTAGTAAAGCTGTGAAGTTGGGTTTTTTTTTTACAGTTTTTCTCAGTCATATCTTTTCTTAGATAATAGCCAGTGTGTTTGGAAACACGTCAACGTGGGTAATCACACTGAACTTTTAGAGTATTTGATGAATTAATTCAACTCTTCATGCAAAAGTGATTGTTTAAAGGAAAAGCGGATGAGTGAGTTGCCTGCAGGGTTTATTCGAACATAAATAGCTGATAATGGTTGTAAATACATTGATTTGGTGTTTGTTTCATTGTGCAGAAGCTGCAGGGATCAGGACCCCTCATGCTGACAGAAGAAGAGAAGAGGACCCTGGTTGCTGAGGGTTATCCAGTACCAAACAAACTTCCTCTCACTAAGAGTGAAGAGAAGGCACTGAAGAGAGTCCGACGGAAGATCAAAAATAAGGTAAACACCGCACCCTTCATTTTGTGTGTGATTTACACATCAGCTATTTACAGAACCTGGGACTCAGGTCTTTGCATCTTGCTGATATTTTTCTGTTTTTCTACCTAGATCTCAGCTCAGGAGAGTCGGAGGAAGAAGAAAGAGTATGTGGAATGTCTGGAGAAAAAGTAAGGCTTGGAAAATATCCTGTCCATGTCCCCATTTTTTCCATTCCTTTTCCACTCCTTTTGGTTTACCTTTGTATCTCACTGTCTATATTTCCAAACCCTTTTTTCTCATTATAGTCCCCTCGAATGGTATTAAAGTAACCTTACTACACTATATTAGTGGCCATAATATTGGAATACTCCAGCCAGAGCTGTCAAATGTCCTGATTATTCAGAATACTAAGTTGCTGCAGTCTGGAAGAATAAAATCACACCATTGTTGCTGAACTGAGCTCTAATTCATCCAAAATTTAAAAAAAATAATCGATTCAAATTCTTGAATTTATTTAACAGATTCTACAAAGCTCAGCGTCTGAGTTTACCCTGCTATTAGTGGCAGAATTTTGAGGATAAGAAGTAAGAAAAATACAGAAGAAATTATTCTGTATTTTTATTGCTGTCAACAAATCACATGAAAAGAATAAAACCAACTGTGTGTCAAGGCTATGCTTGCAGCAATATACGTCGTATGTCATCTGACCACAATTCCACTGTCAGTCAGGGGGTTCCAGAGGCTCTCCAAGGACTGTTCTATGAATAATGAGGCCTGAGTCTGTCTCTCAATACGTTCTGACTTCCTCACTCTGTCTGTGGCTCCCAGCCCCACCTCCTTTAGTTTCTACTGAAGACATAAATCTTTAAAAACACAATTATCATGGCTGAAAAAAGACTCAATAATTCCTTAAAACAACTGGGCACTGTAGTCTTTACACTTGGTAAGGCCTTAAAATGTATTACATTGATTTTGAGTTTACGTTACTTGTATAAAGTTGCGTTTTTCAGTCTCAATTTTAAATGTGCTTTTTGGAAAGATTTGATCATGCTCTAACATTCCTACTTTTTTGCCTGTATGAAAGTAAAATAGATCCATAATGGTCTTAAAGAGCCTTAAATTTAACTTAACAACCTAGAGATGTCTCCTCCTGTTTGAGCAAAGGTAATTCAAACAGGAGGAAACAGTGCATTTGTTGGGGTTTCCTGTCTCTCTGCAGTGATCACTATCCAAATATAGATGTGAAAACCTAGAGAAAATAATAATAGAAAAAAGACAAATGTACAATATTACAAGACTTATCCTTCAAAATTGGTAACTTGTTGCTATGTACTCATCATGTACCTTCGGTTTTTTAGTTTTCAAGTTTTCAATATCTATGCAATGAATGTAAAGCCTTTTCATCCACTTCTCCAAGCTGTCTAACAATGTATTTAAGAGTAGTTGTATTTGGTCCAGAAAGCAGCCGTGTTGGCTCGTGAGGTTTCCCCTGAGTTGAACCTAACCATAGGCCTTTTTATACATAATTGTGCATCGCTGGCACAGACAAAACCTGAAAAATGTAACTGGCAAAAGAGGGAAAAGATAGAGTTGTGTAATGCTGAAGTGAACTTGGCGGTTGAAGTGTAGTTAAGAGGCAGTTTTTGTATTTAGAGGTTTTCCCAACTGCTTTGGAGCTGAGTGTGGTAACAGACACAGGACTTCTGTAGGGAATTCAACTGGAGGCAGCACATCAGCAAACTCACAGGTCCTTGTGGGGTCAAGAAGAAATATCCAGATGAACACATAATACTTACAGAATGTGTTTCATCATCAAAAGTTACCAGAAAGTCCTTCCTCTCTTCTTTTCTTTGTTATTCTGGCCATTCCTTGCTGTGGCAGGACTCCAATAACCTGCTGAACACATGGGTCAGATTCAAAGAGTCTCTGAGAGGGAGAGCGAAAGAGAGGTGAAAATGTGGGCTTAATTTTACGTCGCTTTCAAAACAAAAAGTAAACTGCTTCAGTCAGCTGATAAACAGCCAAAGCGGTTTATACAGGTGTAAACACACTGTCCTATAAATCCCTTTAGACCATGTGTATGAACACTTGAGAGAAGTAAGAGGAGAGGAAAAAAAAAGGATATAAAGAAAGGGTTCTTTATATGCTTTGTGTTTGTTTCTTTTTTGGACATGAGGACAGGATTATTGGAGGATCCCTCAGTCAGAAAACAGCGGGACCACTCGCTGAAAGGAATGAGCCGTATTCAAACCAAACACAGGAGGAGATCAGGAGGATTATGATGTACAGAGTAAAAGATTAACAAGATGTTCAGTTGATAATAGAGATCAATAGGATTAGCAGGAGATGGGGGGGAAGACAGTTGGGAGGGGAACATCTCTCATCCTGCAAATCCAGTTGCTATAGCAAAATGATCTATAGTGGAATTTAAATGTCAAAATGGGTTTAAAATTTTAAAATATATAAAGATATTGTGCAATAACAGCAATAGCACCACAGTTTTTATGGTAATAGATTAGTTTAACATTTGAAATGTGGCATTGGAGGTATTTGTTCACCCTAACCTCCACTAAAATGACAAAACAAGTATGTCCATCATTCCACCGTGGTCCTATGATGATTAATGAAATAAAAATGATGTCTCTTGTGTGCACTATATCCAGTCCATCCATGTGTTTAGAATTCACTTACTGATTTATGCAAAGCATGGAAAGCATTAAATATGACTCATATTCAGTCTTAGGTCAGATTACTTTGAAATGTAGTTACTGAATACAATCCATTGGGTTACAAAAACTAACTGTAATCCAATCACTAATTTTTCAAATGTGCTGATTATAGTTTTATTATTTTATTTTTTTTGTAATTTTCTGATTATGTAATCCTGATTACATGTAATCTGTTACTACCCAATACTGCTCACATTAGCTGAAGAAGAATTGTGTATTATTAATTAATATAAATCTGTAAAAGTAGAATTTGTGTATCTTTTGTCAAATTTAATCAAACCAGCTACAAGAAGCACAACTCCTGATTCTCTGTTTTTGTGTGTGGATCCAATGTTAGCGTTACGGAACATTAGCATAGAATTAGCTTGACAGTTGGATGGAATATAAACGAGTAGTGACATGGGCGGATTAACCTTGTAAAGGGCCAAGAAAAAGTTGGTTTTGGCCCCTATTGAGTCCCACCTGTCACCTCCGAGTTCCAGTTAAGTCCAGTGCTCACAGCAGACTACACATGGCAGCTCCATTAAACTCCCAGAGATCCACAGTGCTGGAAGGATACTGGCCCTAGATCTTCTGTGTTATTTGATAAAACTCTAATTTACACTTTTGGGACCCTTGAAGGTCTGGGGCCTCGTGGCAGTGGCCCACCTTGCGCGGCTGCAATTTCAGCCTCGATGATTGACATTATTTCTGATTGCATTAAAAGCCCACGCTGGTTTGCACCTCGCTGCGTTCTCAGAGCAAAACACTAAAAATCTGATCTCAGATAAGCATCTGTGTCTGTCTGTCTGTGTGTAACAGGGTGGAGAGCTACACGTCAGAAAACAGCGACCTGTGGAGAAAAGTAGAAAACCTGGAGACCGCCAACAGGTGAGGCTCACACACACACACACACACACACACACACACACACACACACACACACACACTGGCTGATATTAGTGCTGTCTTGCTGTTGTGTCTCTGACCAGGCCGAAGCTGTTGCGTGCTGGCTCCTAACACTAATAACACAGACCCAACATTCTTGTAACGATGTTTGGATTATAATCACTGAAAACAGCAACAAGATGGCGAAGAATGCGTCTTGATAAGAGAAGAGTTGAATGATCTGTGTTACAGCAGGGCCAAAGAAACTGGCTCTCAGTTTTCTTTAATCTTTCTCTGAGAATAACGATGATTATAACTGCAAGCAGGAAAACTCTGAGTGAGCTGTAGTCCTGTAGTCTTCAAAGAAGAAAGAAAGGCATTCTACTGTAGGTTACACGTGCTATTATTTATGCTCTGTATGTAAAAGCCTTTGGAGTCTACAGTTTATTTGCATTGTGTTACACTGAAAGAATTATAGGAGTCTAAACAGAAATTTGTCTAGAAAGTGTAGACTCACCCAGCTCCTCTGTCATTATAACAATATGAAACCAATCTGCTATTATCCAGGAGTGGGTGCATAGATGGGTGGGTGGGTGTGGTGGGATGAGGCTTGAGGGGAGGCAGGGGGGCGTCTGTCTCTATGTCTGTCTGTCTGTGGCAGCCTCAGCCTGTCATTAAAGCTGCGATTTAACAGTAGCTTTCATCATAGAAGGCAACCCCCTCCCTTCCCACCACACACACACACACACACACACACACACACACACACACACACACACACACACACACACACACACACACACACACACACACACAATCACACTGATGAATATGTTAAACCACCACACGGAGGAACAATGAGTTGGCACAAACTGGCAAACATGAGTCAGCACGCTCACTCTCACATAAAGTCCCAGTGTGTGTGCAGGTCTGAACATTTTTTTTTTTTTTTTAAACGAATGAACTAAATTTAAGCTCCTAGTTTCTAAAAAAGGCCCCAAATGCAGTTATTAGTGGTCATTTTGTTCTGCATGCGATGGTTTCTCTGCACTGCACGTCCACTTTGATTCATACAGGCCTGGGTAAGTGCTACTCCACCTCTATGTAGCATTAAATATGTTAGAAACTTTCCAAAATATGTTTATTTGCTGTCTTAGCAAGAGTCAGATTGATAATAATTTCAGGTTCACGATACGTTTAGCCTAGCTTAGCACAAACTCTGGAGACAAGGGGAAACCACTATAGCTCCCCTTAAAAAGTTTTCTGTTCATTTAATCCATTAATTAAAATGTTTCCATTCTCGTGCTGACTGTTTACACACACAACCGTTCACCCTGCCAACCAACATGACCTTTGGAAGTACTGTGTATTTAAAGCAGCAATAACTTGAGCAGTAAATCACTGTGGTTTTACATCAAAGTGCTGTGTGATTGATGCTGGTCAGTATCATCCAATATAAGTTTATTACAACTGGCAACTGTTTAATGCTACATTCTGGTGCATGTGACAGACAGCAGCATGGAAATATGAAGCATTGAATGTACAGACAGCCGGACTGACTCACTGTTTGGTTTGCCACCTGAATATCTGACAGACTGATTGACCTGCTTATTGTCTGGTTTCATTTCTCACTCATTAAATGAGTCTCTGAGGGCTGGTTCACAGTGTGTTCAGTAGCAACTGGTCCTCTGTCTCCACTTAGTGGTCAGAGTGTGTCCACGCATCTACTGACAGCTCATACCATCAGAACCCTGCTCTCCAGATCCCACTGATACACTGTATTCTAGTGGTTTTACTGGGATACTCTGTCCAGCTCTACTGCACTCTTCTACTTACTGCGGCTAATGCAAACAGCAACAGTAAATCAGGTGGATAAAGTTTACTGTAATGTGCAATCAACCCAATACTGTGCAGTACTCTGGGATTTATACCGCATATTTCAATCAAAATGTCTTATTTATACTATTCTCATTCACATTTATCAGCATTATTATTTATTTACACTCTTATATAATGTAGTATGTGGCCCATATATTACTTAGTTCTTTTATATATATATAGTTGTTTATATAAGTATAATGCACATATTTGTACATATTTGTTATTTTCTTACTTTCTTTTTTCCTTAATTTCTCTATTCCTATATACAGACAGGTGACAAATAAAAGGAAAAACCTGAATGAATCATTAGTAAAAAACATGCAAACAAATGCTTTCATAGAGAAATCAAGGGCTCATTCATAATGGTTTAATTAGAACGGAAATAATGTGAATCAGTTGAACACCTACAGGAGAATGGACAGGGTTCCAGAGACTTGGAAGTTTGTGTTGGTTTTTTCCTCTAAATTGTCACCCATCTGTGTATTTTTATTCTAGAAATGAGCAACTGTAACATGGCGCCGTTTCCCCTCGGGGATCAATAAAGAGTTGCTGAGTTTGCAATTGTGAATCATGCGAGAAACCTCCTGCAGGGACAAACACATATTCGTGAAAGATCTATACGGGTGTTTGCTGCCCTGAGTTTAACTTCTCAGGCTCTGCACACATCATCACACTCAAACCCCCAACAAAGGCTCTAATCCCAACCTTTACCAACTGTAAGACACTATCAGAATATAAGACTTCAACCGCTGTTACTTCCTGGAGCTGAGGCGATCCGTGAGAGGGTAAGAGCCATCTCAGAGGCTCAGTCCAGAGTCCTCAACCAAACAATGTCCTGCCTCGAGTTTTACTCCCTCATCCCCTCTCTTTCTCTACCTGTGGAATGATAACCTTTGTAGTTCTTGCTCTTTAATCCCTCTCTGTCTCTCTGTGTCTTCAGGTCTCTCCTACAGCAACTCCAGAAGCTTCAATCATTGATTTCAGGGAAAGTTGTCCCCCGTTCTTGTAAAATGGCCTCCACTCAAACAGGGACATGCCTTATGGTAAACACTAATGTTGTTATTGTAAAGCTCTTGTTGTTGTTGTTGTTGTTGTTGTTAAAGTTACTTTATTATATTTTGTACATTAATTTTGTCTCCAGCATTGGCCACTTTACTTTTATTATTATTTATTAATTTGTTTTGTCCTTCCTTTGTGCAGATGATGGCCGTGTGTTTTGTCCTGGTGTTGGGCTCCTTCTCTCCCTGCCTCTCTCCCCTGTCCCTCCTCGCCGACTCCTCCTCTTTGTCCTCAACCTCCTCTTCCTCTCATCCCTCCTCCTCTCCTCCTCTTCCATCAGCGGACCTCTACACCACCAGTCAGGGTACGTCTACAAATATGTTCGGCATTATTAGAAATGGCATTGAAGTACATTCAAAGGCTCATTTAAGCTTTTGAATGCACCCATAAACCTCCATTACCTCTCCTTTAGTTAACAGTGTTAACTTTCAACAACCCTAAAAGAATTCAGATCAACTTGTTGTATTCAGTAATTGTAGATCAGTAGCGATAGCAAACCTAAAGACATCACATTGTATAATATCTAATGGCAAAAGTTTTGTTTCTAACTGAGAATCTATTGGATAATTACCTGACACACAGGGATAAAGAAAACAAGATTCATTAATAAAATCAAGAATAATAAATAAAATATAGTATATTAAGTTATTTCTCTCAAACAACTCCTGAAGACCTTTAATTCCTCACTGAATTCGTCCTCCCTATAAAAATACTTTAACCACATACTTTTGGGGAAACCCCATTTGAAACTAGACGTTAGGCTGTCATCATGTTAAGTACCAGTCCTTTATGCCAACAACCAACCTCTGAGCGGTATGGGAAAAAGTCTGCTAGACGGTAACCATCAGCGCTGGAAATCAGCCATTTTCCTGCATCTGAAGCCTGGGGCCACGAGAGGCTACAACGTTCAGTATAATTAGACTTGGATGTTTCTTGTGTATAATATTAGAAAGGTTGTGATGTCTAAAAAAGGTTATCACACTTTATTCTTTACATAAAGAGCTCATTTTAGATTGTTTTCAGGGTACTTTGTCATGATGTTGGTGTCAAATTGTCCAACTAATCGAGATAGTTACTGGCTGCAAAACACTAGGAACAAAGTGTCCGACCATTGACCAAAGAGAATTCTCTTTAATGACATGGTGCCTGAAAGAAATACTTCCACAAATGTTACCCTAATATTCCCATTAGGAAAAGATTTTCTCTACATGATTATTGTAACCAAATGAATTCACAATAATGATATTATCACAGTATCTATAGAAAACTAATGCTATCAGTCAAATTCATCTTTAACTTTTATGGCATGTTTCGTCTCTATTTTGGCAAATCTACAGTAGCCCAGAACGGACAAACCAAACACTGGCTCTGGATAGTGCCTGTCACGTTTTTTATTTGTTTCGTGGCCATTGTAGTTTCTCCTACACGTTTGGAAAGGAATTGTAATCTGCAAATACACTGCTAGGTGCCACTAAATCCTGGTCCTTTAAGTGTATAGGCCATAGAATAATCATGTAGAATCTCAAAAAAACAAGGTGATGTCTTAAAATATCTTATTTTATCCAACCAAAAGTCCACAACCCAATGATGTTAAGTTTAATGACATAGAACAAGAAATTCTCACATTGAAAATTCTGGAACAGAGAATTTTTGGTTGATTAATGACATGTACAACTGGTGTTTGGTTAAATATGTTCGAAATGATAAACAGTGTTTGATCATGAATGTAGGAAATCTAAGAAATGAATGAATTTGACCAGTCTTTGCAGCCCAAATGAACATGAGAATGAAGACCAGTGTGTGTTTGTGTGTCGCAGTCCGTTCCCGCAGCCTGCTCTTCTACAATGAAGGGGCTCCACTGGAGGAGAGTTTAGTGACATCAGAAGGGGAGCGGCTACAATCAGAGGCCCATTCCCACATCCGATACACAGCTGACGCACACAGCAACCAGACAACTGGGCCCGAGTTAGACCGGAGGTAGAAACACACTGTGATATATACTGTGATCTTTTTATGTCAAAAAACTTTCATCGCCCTCTCAACATTAACTGAGTGCCTCTTCTCCCCTCAGAGAAACAAAACCAGACGGAGTCTCCGAGTTTTTCTGACACAACCTGACCCCTTCTCCCATGACTTCTCACCTCTGACCCCTAAGAAGGCCACCAGATTCCTGAACTCAGCGGGGCTTTCATATCAACATGCAACTGGACCAAAACCTACATGATTCTGCCAGTCCATCATCATCTGTTTTAGTGAGCTTCAAGACTTCAGACACTGCAGTCCTCCCATCTGCCATCCACAGCCGGTACACTGCCTGTACGTGGTGCTTGCTTCTCTGCTCAAACAGGCTCCGCTACACCTGAATATACTGGATTTTAAAGGGACCATCTTATTGGAGTGTGTATTGAAATATAGTACAATTTTAAATTCCAAACTAATTATTAAAATTAAGTTTGAACAATCTCAAAGAATATTTAGTTTAAAACATTAGATACATTCCATAAACACATAGGGTCTTCATTAAAGAACCTCTACAATATACAACACACAAATGCAATGTGTAGCGTTTTAACATGAAGAATTATTAGCTGCTTTTGGTCTCCAGAGCCATTGACACTTTCTCTCTGAAACAAATACATTGTAGCGTTGCCCTTAAGACAGAAAACAACATCCTCTTTGCAAGAGTAAGCAAAGAGGGCTTTGTGCGTTATATGGTCTTAATTTTGAGGGAAACACACAGATACACCTTTATCAACTCATGAACATAAATACATAATATATAGAAACTTGACTGACCTCCACTGTGGGATTGCAGCTGATGTTAGCACATGGTGCTTTCATTTTCAATCACCATTACCTAAACCTGTTGATATAGGGCTGCAATTAACATATATTTTGGTTATTGATTTAACTATTGTTTTTTTTTTTATTAATACTACAAAAGGTCATAAAATAGTCAGTTTCCCAGAGGCCAAGGTAGCATCTTTAAATGTCAGGTTTTGTCTGATATGAAATACAAACAGCAAATCCTCACATTAGAGGAGCTGGAACCAGAGACTGTTTGGCATTTTTGCTTAAAACTCAACTTAAAGGTGCTGTAAGTGATATTTCTTTGTTAAAATAAGCGTTAAACAGCTCTACATCCCGACAGCCATCACCGATAGAGTGTTCAGTCAGTAACATGGGTCACCAAGTCCCTCCTTTCTGCAGTAAACAGAGAATACATCAGGAGAGAGAACTCCTTAAAGAGGTGGTCCTTAAGGGCAGGCAGCAGGATGTCAGTGTGGTGACGCGGGGAAGAGGGAGGGGACTGCTAATTGTGAAAGCAGACAGGATTTCAGCTACAGCACCTTTAAGTGATTCATTGCTAATCAAAATGGTTGCTGATTAACTTTCAGCTAATTGACTCATTGTTTCATGACAGTCTATGTGCATAATGAATGCAACGTGTAAAAATATTCACATCCTTTCTAAAAGGAAGCTGTGCCATTTTAAAAGTGCCTTTCACTTATTTAGACCAATATGACCAACTTAGCCTTTACACCTGAAGCCCACACACGCACCTAAACACCGGGAACAAGAACTAGATTACACACTGGTTAAATCAGGGCTGCTCTCGGCCTTCTGACGCCCTGGGTGTGATTTAGCTCATGTCATCATCTCTCTAGTTCTTATTTCTTTGAACTAATCACAAACTGGATGAATGTTCAGGATTTATCTGTCTCTCTATGTTGTATTTAGGGGCATAGCAGCAGAGCCAGCCTTGGTTTGAACTGCTGTTGTGTAATGTTAAGAGTTACAACAAACACATGTAGTGTGTTTTATTTTGAAGTTAAAGCTAGTTTTACACTTCCAAATTCTGACCAAAATTCTGCATCATTTTGGGGAGAAACCATATTTTCATATCCAGGGACCGTTAAAGGGGTACCGACAGAGGTTGGGGAAACATGACATAAAAGTATTTTTATGGAATTAAAAATTGTATATGTAATATATTTGCAGCATCAAAAAAGAGCATATTTAATTTATGCAACAAAAAAATAAATACTGAATATGTTTTTAAGATTAGTTTATCTTAATGTTTTGTTTTTCTAAATAATGTTTACAAAAAAAACACAAAAATACAACTTATAATATATTCTGAGCATCAAAAAAGAGCATATTTATTTTATGCAAAAAAAAAAGAAAGGAACCGTATGTTGTGTTTTGGCATTTAGGATGATGTGAAGTTTTACCTGATGGTGTGTTTACATGCTGTTTCATGGAGTGTAAAACTTTGACATGATCTGTTTGTGTCTTTTAACTGTAATACAGTGTTTATGTTTCACTGCTGTCGCATGAAATTTTCTTTGTTCCCTTGTGATTTAAAAATGCCATTAGCTTGTTTATTCGGACCTTTAAAAAAAAAAATCTGTTTTTTTGGTTTCATGACCCGGAAAGAAAGAAATTCATCACAAATCAACTTCTGATTAAAAAGAAATATAATAATGCTCAGTAAAAGCATCCTATAACCTCAAACATCTCAAGATCAATACTAAATGTGTTCATGCGACAGCAGTGTATGTTGTATTTATTCCTGTTTGTAGAAAGTGTGTATATATTGATGAAGCCAATCAGGGGACTAATACATTCCAGGAAGTAAAACACCACTAGCTTTGTTATCTCCACAATTTGAAGAAACATCAGGACATTTACAAAAACTGTTTTATTTCTTCACCACTATTCAGACAATGCGAGAAAAAAAACAACCATGCTCCCCAGAAACTATTTTGAAATGTCATGGTATTCCTTCAAATTAAAGGCCGTTAAAAAACAGACATTTCACTGTCCCAGCCCAAATCCTCGAGGATACAATAAGAGTTCTGACTTCTAAAACACTCAGAAATCCTATTTTACAGTTAACACAGATCGTCTAACTTGTCTTCGTTTCATTTTGTGTCCCTCATGCTACACAAAAACATCGCGTGACTGCAGCCCGTTGCACAATCATCCTGTCATTCTCACCCTCAACAGTCTTAATGCACCAGTGTACATATAATGACAACCTAATGTGCAGTTGTTGTAAATAAGGGCCTTGTTTTTGTATTGTGACAAGATTTTAACCTGTGGAATCAACGTGGGAAAGGAAAAAAATGGGGAAAAAATCAGTGGATTTATGGGGGAGGGATTAAAAACAGGGAGGGAGGGAGGGGGACTTTTTCCACTTGTAAAGAAACCTCGATAACACAGCAGCTGCACACAGTTCCAATAGTTGTAAAACACCGGAATGAACTATTTGAAATGTGTTTGGGTATAATGTTGTCCTGGTTTGTTGTATAGCGTCTTGCATGTTCCTCCATATACAACTATGTTATCTTAGTGTAGTCAGTAGAGTAGAAACCAGCAAAATATTAAAAAACTGCATCAGCAACACTGTGTCTGTGTTCATTTTAATGTGACCTTTATGCCATTAATCTGTTCTGGTCCCACTCTTATTAGTCTTGGTCCCCCTTTGACTTCGACGTGAACTCCAGAGTCCAGCCAGCAGGTTCAGCTGAAGTGTTTAAGTATGAGCTGTTTCCGGAGGTCCTCTGCCTGGCTGTCGCGGTCCTCTGGCCTCTGCTCGAGGCTCTCGGGCTGCTCCAGAGGGTCCGTTCTCTCCAGAGTCCAGGCGTCTAATCCGGACTGCAGGGAGGCGTTGTGGAGGACGCAGCAAGCCAGCAGGATGGACGAACTCCTCTCGGGAGAATACTGCAGACATGACGAGACAGACAGATGTCAGTGATGCCAGTACTGGTCTGTGTAGTTTATAGCAGTATAATTTGAGTGTTTGATTTTTGGACAGGGAGAGGTTAGCTCAGAGGACAGCGTACCTGCAGGTATCCTTTGGTACCGTCCAAACATCTGAATCTGGTCTGGATGGCTCTGAAGGTTCTATCCACTATCTCATGTGTAGCAATGTGGGCCACATTATACCGAAACTCTGCAGGGGATTCTGGGCAGTCGACTGGGGTCATCAACCACTTCCTTAGAGGGTAACGGCGGTCGCCTAGGAAACAGAAATCAATAAAAAGGACTTTATTTATTTTTCTGGATCTTTTCAGACTCTGCAGAATGACACTGAGAGTCTGGAATCCACATCTCACCCAGCAGCCAGCCCTCCTCTATGTCCTGCAGCTGTTTGTACAGAGCAGATGTTTCTAGAACTTCGGTGTCTTTGAGTCCACCCGGCCAGTGGGTTTCTGCGCTGAGTAACAACCCTCTGGCATCACAGACCAGCTGACAGCCCACAGAGTGAAACCCCTTCTTGTTTACATATGACGAGTCTTCGTTGTTTGGAGCTTTGATGGTGACCTGGAGACGGAGGGGAAAGAACACGGAGAAGGGTGGATCCGTTACGCTGTCACCTGCATACACAGTGTACACAAGTGTTAATGCAATATAATATAATGAACCTGAACACAGTCCAGCACCCCCAGAACTCCTGGGAATCCTGCCAGCCTCTGAAACTCCTGGAAGGACTGCTCTCTGCTGGAGGGATCTCTGTTTGGGAAACATTATTATTGGACTTTTTCTTATTATTATTATTATTGTTAATATTTTGCATAAAACATAGTTTATGCTTCTTGATTTTCCATAGTTATTTCTCTGCAAGTTTTGGAGTAGATATGGGTGTTTCTATTGTTTGGGTACTGGCCAAGGGGGCAGAAACATGTTGGGTCACACAATCACAGGTGTGTGGGGTCAGTGTGTTGTAATGGTTCTTACTGCAGAGGGCACAATATAGACTTCATTAAATGACACAAAACAGGAGAAATTCTAAATATTGCACTGCAGAATATTGCAGAATGTTAAATAATTTTCCAGGACATTTAACTCTTTCTCTCATTGTGTGTTTTTAGAGGTGGAAAACTGTTTTCCAGGACGCGTGGGAACCCTGCAGGTGAACTAAAACTTAGTTACTTACTTGTTACTGGGATTTTAAAAACTCACTCATCACTTATTCACAATCACACTTATTATCTACAAGGCTGCAAACCGACTGATGCATTTGCACACGTACTTTCCTACTATAAACACTTCAGTCCAGTCCTTATTAATACTGAATGACATAATTTGTTGGAACCTGTAAAGAATTTCATTACAGTCCATGATATTAAGGTTCTGATGGTTTTGACAGTCTTAAAGCCTTACCAGTAGTAGGGCTCAGTATTTGAAACATATCCTGTCAGGCCTTTTTTCAGATTTCTTTAAAGAGTCATTTGAAAAGCAAAAGTAATTTGCACTAAAGAACATTATAACCAGGGTGATGTTACCTCCATAGATGCTGTTTTTCCTTCAATGATTCTCCTTCAAGGCAGTTTAAAGTGAAAATAAGTGCATGATATATAATGTTTCCTTGTGGATCCACAAAGTTACAATCCCCCTGGCATGTTGATAACGACAGCATAAATAATAACACAAGACACCCCTGTATCATACCTGTTGAACGTGATGAACTGGGGAGCTTTCTCCACCAGGGCTCTGGTCACATTGGACACACATCTTGACATTGACGCCTGGCTGATCCCTATCGTATCTCCCATAGACGTCTGGAATGAGCCAGATGTGTAGAAACCCAAAGCAGCCAAAACCTGGACCTCAGGACTGATGGCCCTGGAGCGCTGGGTACGTCTACAGAGAGCCTGACATACAGAAACACACAGGACTACGTATCTGCAGGGTTTTTTGAATAAAAAAAAGAATAGTTGATTATTCAAACCTGTGTGTGAGCACATACTCACCTCTCTGAGTAATTCTACCAGATACAGGATAAACTCTCTGGGGAAGCCGAACTGCGTGAGGAGGAAATGGTCTGAGACAGAGTCCAGATCAAAGCGGTCCAGGGTCTTGTGGCCTCGACCATGTAAGAGTAGATCACAGTCCAAGATGGCTATAGGGATCGCCATGCTGTGGGTGCATCAATACATTTACAGTGGTCTATTTTAATTCTGTAACATGTGCTTGCCATTAATGCTGGTATCCACAAATCTGTATCCAAGTATTCTGATCTGTACTGCCCATAGAGATACTGTTATCTGTAAACCCTGCGGTAAGTTTTGAGCTCCCAGCATGCACCCCCCCTACGAACAGTGAGCTAATGACGTTAGCGTCCGTTCTGAATAGGAAGTCCTGCTTACGTGCTAACTAGCAAGCTAACGTTAGCTAGGTAGCATTTGGGTTTATATAATTTCAGCTATTCGTGCTGGTGGAGACAACCCGTTTGAAACGCGGAGCTGTGTAGCTGTAAATGAGAATGAACTGGTTTATTTGGCATTATTAAGGACATGTTTCTTACGTTTAAGGCGCTCGTGCAGCATTTGTCAACCAAAACATGCGTCAGGAACACCAAACCTGCCACGCGCATTCACAGATTCGACACGGTCAGTAGCGCGTTCACGTTCATGTTTTATATTTCGTTTCTCACAAAAATCTATTTTATATATATTTTTATCTAAAATATGGTGTCTTGAGTTATTTAGAGCATAAAGTTTACAGATATTTAAAATAAATAATAAATAACGAAAGTGCTTTCGTGAACGCGCTGCTATCCAAACACGTCGACATGGAGAAGATAAACAGAGAAGTAGCACAGTCGCTGTTGACGTTGTGTTTATTCGAACAGGGCGTGTAAATGTCCGTGGATAACAGCGGTTCATGTCATCTTTATTGAAATCATTTGTATGTTATTGAAGCTACATTGCTAAGGGAGCAGCTAATGTAAGTTTCGCTGTTTTATGATGGAGTGTAAGTGCGTGGTATTTAGCTAGCTGGCTAACATTAGCCACAGGCTAACGCTGGTTGGCCAGTGAGTGTCTGGGCTTCCCCTTTGAGAAACGTAAACGTCAAATAATTAGCGATGAAATGGCGGTATTGCACTTTAATAATCCGCCTAATTGTGTCGTGCACCGTGTGAGGTGGTTGTCAGTGTCTGTAGTTTATTATGACCTCCAGGTTTTATTCGGACAGTTTCATGTCAACGTGGAGGCCTCGCTTGCTAACTTGGAGTAAAAACAGTTCCCATATGGAGGGCTAAAAACAACTGTGATAAACACTATTTGACCTGTTATTACCTATTTTTCTGTTATGCCATTTTGTTAATGTGTTTTTATTGCATTGTACATTGCTTCCAGCCAGTGACTGCTATACAGCAAAGCAGTGTGTATGTTTAGTCAGAGCATTGCCTGTTGTTGGTAATTCAGCTGTTCTGTTTAAGGAACGTAAGGTAATGTGTTGTGTGAATATTCACTAATACTGTAGGCTACATTTATTCACCTTTTCTCTGTAATTATTAGTGTTTGACTATTTCAAATCAGCAATGAATATAATTTTAGATTCAGTGGCAGAATAAACGTTTTCCCAGCAGCCATTTTGCTAGAACTAGTAGGCTGACCACAGGTGTTACCAATGATACTAATTAAGGTCCTGTTCCTTTCAGGTCAAACACCTGTGTTTACTATTTCATGTCAAAATGGCTGCTGTGGAATAAGTCTGTTAGTAGGGAATAATTCAAAAACAGGCCAGGACCTGAGCTACTCAAATGACTTCAACCAAATGTCGAACCAAAGAGGAATACAATCACTGTTTTAAATGAATCTCCAATGGGTTGTCTTGTTTGATCGCAGGGTCGTGACAACATGGACAGTGGCCTGAGTCCCCAGGATAAGAAAGACTTGGACAAGTTCATTAAGTTCTTTGCCTTGAAGGTAAAAAGTCAACAACAACATGTTTCTCCACAAACAATGCCACAGTTGTCATTTGAACTGTTTCTGTGAAAGCTGTTCACTGTTTGTCCTCTGTAGACTGTCCAGGTGATTGTCCAGGCTCGCCTCGGAGAAAAGATCTGCACTCGCTCGTCCTCATCGCCTACTGGCTCTGATTGGGTAAATTAATTTAGCCATTCGTTAACCTTTTGCTTTTGTAATGACTGATATGATTTACATTTTACTGTAGATCTGCTTTGGATTGTTGGTGTAAATGAAAATCGTTTTGATGATGATTATTATTATTATTTCTTCTAGTTTAATTTGGCCATCAAAGACATCCCAGAGGTTACTCATGAAGCCAAGAAGGCACTGGCTGGCCAGCTTCCAGGCATCGGACGCTCCATGTGCGTCGAGATCTCCCTGAAGACGTCAGAGGTAAAACATCCCTCAGTAGGGGAAACCTTGCATCATCAGTGAGCACAGAGAAACTTTCCACTTTCAGCAGATGAATGTGAAAACCTCCTTATAGTGTCAAACTCTGCACATACATCATTCTGCACAGTGAAGATCCAACACACTGTAGGAACAAGATGAAACACAGAATTTTGAGGGGAACTTTAACATAAGCTCAGTTAAAACATAACAAATAATAACTCAATGTATCAGCTTTATAAATGCGGAGAGGTTGGCAAGATCTTTGTTAACAACAAAATACATATACTGCTGTGTGAGTCTAAAACACGGGACCATAAAAGATTGACCCCTCTATGTAAATGTCACTAGTGTTTTATAGAGTAATCAGACCACTCAAGTTGGTTTTTCAGTCCACTTTAATGTCCCTCTGTTGATCTTTCTGTCTCTCTCTTTCTCAACCAGGGTGACTCAATGGAGCTGGAGACTTGGTGCCTGGAGATGAATGAAAAGTGAGTGGATTTGTGTTTTTAAATTGCATTAGTGGCCAAATGGTCATGGAAAGGAATAACCTGGAAGACTGCAGATCATTATGTGACACTATTACTGTAACTGTTGCTTCATCATGGGCAGCACTTGTGATGAATGCTTCTCTCTGCCATAACGTTGTTGTCTGGGCCCACGCTGCCCTGTTAGTCAGCTGACATTTATTTGAAATAATGAATCGATGTGTTGTGTCTCTCTACTGTAGGTGTGATAAGGACATCAAGGTGTCGTATACAGTCTACAATCGTCTGTCTGTCCTTCTGAAGTCTCTGCTGGCCATCACCAGAGTAACACCTGCCTATAAACTGTCTAGAAAGCAGGGACACGACTATGTCATATTATATAGGTGAGTGGACTCGACCCGTCCTGTTATATAGCGGTTTCATGTGTGCTGGTTTTTGATACTGAACATTTAACAATGTAGCCTTTTGTCAGGAGTTTCCTATATCTGGAAATGTGTCTTTGTTTTCATCCTAAATGCCCAAAAAGTCCATTTAATTTAATTGCTGTATGACATGTTACCATCTGCCTCTCTCGTGTCTAGGATTTACTTCGGGGAGGTCCAGCTGAGTGGATTAGGAGAAGGTAACTAAACTCAGCTTCCTGACTGGCATGTCGTAAATCACTGAAATAAGACTTGAGTGTAAAAGCCCCACACCTACGTATTTTACTGTAGACATTACAAAACATTTTTAAACAGTGGTGCACTTGTATATAAAATCTTACAGACTAAGGTGCAAAAGGACTTAAATACCAATATTCTACATGTATTTAATAAATTTTTTATGGTACTTGCCATATGAAATAATGAAATATATTATGCTACAGTCTTGAAAGTAAGTCGCATCTAAACTCAAAACAAAACACCAAATATACTGTACAGCGTTCACCATTAAAGGCATAATTTATTCTGAAACATCAGACCAAAAAAACCCCTTATCTGTTTGTTTTTACAGGTTTTCAGACGGTGCGTGTCGGCGTTGTCGGCACCCCTGTTGGCACAGTGACACTTTCATGTGCTTACCGCACCAACCTGGCCTTCATGTCCAACAGGTAACACACCACAAAATGTTGCCTTTGAAGATCTCATAATTTTGCTTTAGTGTTTCACCACTCAAAATGAGCACAACTGTGGAAATGTCGTCCTCTGCAGACAGTTTGAGCGGTCGGCTCCCATCATGGGGATCATCGTGGATCACTTTGTGGATCCTCCCTGCAGCAGCCAGCGTCCTGCAAACATGGGGCAGCCCTGCAACTACAGGTACTCAACTAAACTTTATTTATACAATACCTCTCATTCAAACAGGACAAGTCACCTTAAATAAAGTTTAGGCTAAAATCACGTTTCATTTAGAAATGACAATGCTGACCATATCTGCCTTCACTCCACTCAGTTAAACGACCAGCAGACACTCACATATTGCAGCTGAGTCTCAGCCTCGACACAAACAATCGAGAGCTTTTAGGTGATGTGAGTGATCCTTTGGAGGTCACCCTGGATCCATCTGGTCTTGGTGACTTATGTCTGCAAAGTTAATGCACAAACCCTGTTTCTGAGTAATCTCTCCCTCAGATTAAAACTCTGCCTGTGTGTGCTTTTAAAGACCAAATCCGAAAGTTGATTCAAACTTGAATCATCTAAATTAGAGTCTGTGTGTGTTTGTCCAGAGCTCCGGATGAGGAGGACGGAGGACCGTTTGCAGGTGTTCAGGATTCCCAGGAGGTCTGCACCACCTCCTTCTCCACCTCCCCTCCCTCTCAAGTAAGAGGACACACTCCCTCACTCCTCTTTACTGTCTTTCTGTATCCGTTGACTTCTTCTCTCCCATTCTCAAACCTGTTTTTTTATTTCACTTTCTCTTTTCTCTCTTTGTCTGTTTTCCTTCCTGTTGTCTTTTTATCGTATGTTTATCTGTGTGTTTGTGTGTGTATGTGTGTGTGTGTCTGCATTACCTCAGTGTGTGTGCACACTGAGTCCTTCGCCTTCTAAACTGTCTAAGCCCGTCCCCCTGGATAGTCTGCAGCTCCCATTGGCTCCTGGACTTGTCACTCACACTGTGAGTCTATACTGGCCACTGTGAGAGTGTGACTGTGTGATACACCTTGAACTCACTCTGAGTTCTAATTTCTCTTCATTCCATCCATCATTCCTTTGGACTGTGTTTAAAGTGCCATCACTGTGTACACTGTAGCTCCTGTTTGATGCACCAGGCCTGTTTCATTGTAATGCTTTATCACCTCCACCCTGGTAAACCCCATTCATCTTCGACCCATCTCAAGGGCACAGCTCTGACGTTTGACCAATGTTAAACCTGAAACCCACCATGTTCTGTGATTAATATCCCCTCTCTCCGTCCCTCTCTCTCCCTCTCTCTCTCTCTCTCTAGCTGTACGCTTCCAGACTATCATACCAGCCTCCAGCTCTAGCAGGAGCTGCTGATCTGTGCCACCCTGCTGCCAATCCAAACCAGGTGATACACCAGTCACTTCACTTCCAGATCCATAGCAGAGCCTGACCAGTGATTTTGACATTCACGCTGATGTATACAGATATACAGTATCTGTGAAATGGCAGAAAAGCACAGAAATGCAAAATGATCTGTTTGTGGTAATTAATATGGGTAAAATTGTCCATTTGGATTTCTAGTCAGTGTGCTGTAACTCTGCTCTGTTCTTCCCTGCTCAGATGTTGCATGCTGGGAAGGAGGGCGGGGTCGTGTTAGTTCCTGCCCAGCCGCCTCATGGAGCTGATGCCCATCTGACAGCAGAGCATGCCCCCAACACACCTGGCAGCAGGTAATTCTCTCCTCAACCTCCCCCTGAGCTCAGCAGTTGAAGTAATTCCAACCGGTGATTCCTGCTGTGTGTTGTAGTCATGCTAGTTGGGAGTTGCATATTTCAAATCAAAGCCCCGTGAATATCGGTACCAAACAACAACTGCTTCCGGTGTTGGAGTAACACGAGTGGTATTGAAAGCATGAGAATTTAAATCTGAACAAAATAAGTGGACAGGACTTTAATCAGCATCAGTTATCAACTTCCTGTAACCGTGTCTCTCCTCTCCTCCCAGCGGTGACGATGACGGCCTGTCGCAGAGCGGAGAAGGAAGGAGGGATGAAGGGAGGAGGAGCGTCTCTCCCTCTGACCCCGTGGAGTCTCTCAATGCCTTCACGAGGAAAATCGGGGCCTTTGTGAATAAACCCAGCACGCAGGTAAAAAGCACACACAGGCCGGTTTCCTCCTTCCTGCTGACGTATTGTTGTCCATTCATTAAAATACTAACATTGAATTGTCTCTGGAGGAGAAAGTTTCAGTGAGGTTTGTCACTTTGTCAGCTACTGACACTGAATTCAGCTGTGTGTTTGTGTGTGTGCGCGTAGATAACGGCAACCAGTATGGACCTGCCATTTGCTGCATTTGCTCCTCGAGGCCTGGACTCAGAGGAGAATGATCCCATGGTAACTTATTATGATGAAAAAAATCCCCCCTTCCCTCATACAGCAGAATGCTTTGGTTTGTCTTTAAATGGACGCTGGCTAACATTTGAGTCTTACACATCGAGGTGTTTTGGGTTGATGTAAGTCTTATGTATTATTTTCTGTGTGTGTTCAGGTACAGCCGCCAGACTCTCCTCCTTGCCCGTCACCCCTGCAGGCCAGCCTCCATTCTCAGGGCTCAGAGGGATCAGGGCCGCAGGATGACTTTGTCATGGTCGACTTTGTATGTGACTATTGCTCTTTTCTCCCCTGCCCAGGCTTTCCACTATGGGCGCAGTGTGTCGCGATACATTTTGTTTTAAATAGTCATCATGGAGCTGACGGCTATGTAATACCAGACATTAATTTCAGACTGTGCTGCTGCCTTAAAATGTAGATTATTTCAAAACTTTAAACGTAAAACAAGAAGTTTTTTTTATGAATCACATTAACAAACAAGACCATCAGCAACATGAGTGTAACGCGGCAGTAGAAACACTACTGCTTTTGTCCACAGGGCCAGAATCAACACAAAATAAAAGTTCCTTGTAAGGGCTTTAAGTTTGTTTTATGTACATAAAGACTTTATAAGTGAGTTTTCATTCTGTGTAAAAAAAACAAATCAGTTTATCCAACAGTGAAACAAAAAGCAAGAGTCTATTGTTCTTCTTTACTGTGTTTTTTCTACTGCAGAATCTCATTTGCATTTTTGCTTAAGAATTTAGATATTTTTACATTAAAATAAAAGGGATATTCTGTAAATGTTTAAACAATATCTCTTTAATCTGTCTGCAGCGTCCAGCATTCTCTAAAGACGACTTGTTGCCGATGGATCTGGGCACTTTCTACAGAGAGTTCCAGAACCCTCCTCAGCTGGCCAGCCTCTCACTGCACATCAGCTCCCAGTCGATGGCCGATGACCTGGTAACACGCTTCCTGTTTTTTTTTTTCCTCTAAAGATAATGTTTTAAAATGGTATTTATATGAAATGCACTTGCCAGTGGATGTCGCACTAGAGCACCAGCATCTCCGATCCAAACAACTGGACAGAAATAAAATAAAACTCACCGAAGCTTCAATCACCTGCTCTGGTTTGGTCAAAATAAACCCTTAATTCACAGTTTGTATTTTCTGTGTGCAGGACTCGCTTCCAGAGAAGCTGGCCGTTTATGAGAAAAACATCGACGAGTTTGACGCTTTTGTGGACATGCTTCAGTAGAGAAGGAGTGAAGAGAAGCTGAGAGGACTAGATGACAAAAAAGACTAAACAGATGATGGCGAATGGAAAAGAATGAAAGGGAGAAGAGCAGACCGGAAGCTCTGTAGTTGTTTGTTCTGACTAAATCACGTTTTAATGTGAAGGTCCTCATTTCTGACATTTTCCTTTCCTGCCCAGCACGTTCACCTCGCTTCCAGCTTGTACAGGTCGCTCCTTCCACTGTAAATACTGTATTATCTCCTGACACTGGCATACACCCCCTCGATGGTCCGGTAGTGTTAATTCAAACTAAAAATCTTTATTTTCTATGTGGCACAAATCCACTCTCGTTGTCGGTGTGTAATCGGATGATCATGTGTCACTTTAGACAGCCATGCAGTTCAAGGACAGACTGTTTATCCACCCTCCCTCCCCCTCTCCCTCCCTCCCCCTCTCTGAAGGTTTCCTCTACATCATGGCCTTTCTGATCATATCCAAGCTAAACGTGAAAGTGACACTACTCTAGAAATTAAACCAATCCTTGTGTGATGGGCTTCAGGAAAGGTTTTTTTTCTTCCAAAACTGAAATGTTGAAAAGCTGGTCTTGGCAAATAAATTGTACTTAGCCTATCTTGTGATTCAGAAATGTCCTGCTTTACATTTCAGTTGAAAGTCCGTATCAGAAGCAGCTGAGGGTTTGCTCTTTTACCGTAGCCAGGTGCTCCCCAGCGGGTCTGGGTCTTAAACTGCCAACTTCATTATTAGCAAATTTCCCCAAATGGAATTTAAAGTGAACTAACAGCTATCCTAAAAACATGTTTAATGCTGACACAACACTTAGTTGGCAGTTTAACACACCTAGCTAAAACCAATACAACAGTCTTGCAATAACACTGGTCATTTTGGAGGCTGTACATTGTAGAGCTGTTGAATTAATATTGTCCCCCCCTTGCTGCACAGGCTACAGCCTCCAAAAATGACCACTTCAACACACTTTGAACAGAAACTGGAGCCTTTGAAAGCAGAGCTGCTGCATTAGACTTTAGTTTTATCTACTGAGTGCTTTTACTGTTGGCTGTGTAACATGCATATGTATATTTTTGGGGGTTTGTAAAGGTGGGATACATTTCCCAGCTGTCTATAGAAGGCACCAGCTCACCATCCATGACTGTTGAAGTTTGGTTGAAAGCTTTAATTTAAACTTTTCTTTGCCTTTGGTCTAGATGTCCTAATAAAGCATGGCTGCCCTGTTGAAACTACTGATGTCTGTCAACAAACTTAAACCTGAAGCTTGTTTCAATATGGGCACTACAAATCCATTATTGATAATCCTTACATTTAATAATATATTTCCACAGTGATGGTTGTGATTAAGGAGGTTTGTGCTCAAGGTTAGGGGGAACTGACTGACACCTGTTAGCTGTCAGGTGATCAGACCTTCCCAGCAGCCACTGAAAGTAAACAGCTGTCACTAATGATACTAATTAGCATTCCATTTAGTGAAGCAGACCTTGAGCACACACACACACACACACACACACTGTAACACCTGTTGAACCATGTCATGTCAAAATGGCTGCTGTGAAAGTATATTAACTTAAACTGGAAACAGAAGCTGTCATTTCCCCCTAACAAAGCTAACATAGTTAAGGCTTATGAGGCAGTTATCTGCTATTGCAATAAGTTAATAAATCAAATGAAAAAAATAATCATTTCTCAGAATTCTCAAATGGAATTTTATTGTTGGTAGTTCTGGAATTCCATCACATACCTGCAGGACTGCAAAGGGTCAAACCATAAAGTTAAGAGTATGGTAGTACGCATTTTACAGATACTCTACAATTCACTTTCCTCAACCGTTCACATTCCTCCAACTTGTCACTCGCTATGTGTCTGACCAACTACAGATTATTGCTCTTTTCTGAGAGCCCCTTAAACTGCTACCTTAAGGGCTGAGAACCGGTCAGCGAACATTTTACCTTCAGACTCATTTCCGGTCAACAGCTATCTGGAAGGCTATGGAGGAAAAGCTGCTTAAATCAATGTCAACTCTCCCAGAAAACGATGTAAATTTCCTAACTATTTATATTTTCTAGAGTTAGCCACTTAACATGCCGTTACTTTTGAAACACACCCTCTGAGCTGCGGCAGACAGAGGCCGTTTCCAGGTAACACTGGGAACACTGAACGTGAAAAGAAATAAAATAAAAAATAAAAAATAAATTCACAGGAGACAGGCAGTGATCGCCCAGTGTGCATTTCCATCTCATTCAATTCTCAGTCCACTAGAAAGTCCTGTCCCCATTTCCCCCACTATGGCCCCTCTGAGCCTGACTGTCCAATGAGTTTGTTGGGCGACGTGGAAAATGAGTCCCTCTGGGCACGAAGTCAAACATCAGGGAATGGTTGGAAACAAAACGTCCAGATAGAAGACGTGTAACGGCGATAAGATGAGGATGACTGACACTTTACTCTCGTTGCCACGTCCTTGGATACAGGGTGAAAGTCTTTGAGGTGGATGGCCAATGTCCTCCATAGTCATAAATACCCAACCTGCTCCCCCAGTCGGCTGAATGTAGGTGGAGGTGTATAATAGTAGGGTGGGGGTGGTGGGGGTGAAGCCGGCGTCCATACACACTACAGATCAGAGCAGGAGGAAGAAGAGGGAGTGTATGGAGGAGATCCAGGAGCTCAACTTTTCTTCATGGGCTTTTTAAAGAGCGGGGAGGTGACCGGGGATTGAGGCTCAGGCAGTATTCAGTAGGTCCTGTATGGCTTTCTGCTGCGTCTCGTTCAGTGTGGACACGCACTGCGTCCATAATCCTGCTGACACCTGGGGGACACCACACAAAGGGTCAGCGTCTGAACAGCCACATACAGTTGGGTTATGTGCACAGATAATACCACAACGTATGTAATTATTCGACTAAACAGTGAGTTTAACAAGAGTTTGTGATCCTGTGCCCGTCAATAAGACTCCATTGTGTATGTAGCAATAGTTACTACATGGGTTCATTTCCACTTTAACTGCAACCAACAATTATCTTTCAATAATATATTTTATTTTTAGTTGTTTGGTCCATAAAATGGTGAAAAATCACTTTCCCCCCCGAAGCCCAAGGTGAATGTCTTAGATACAAATTCACATTCAGTTTACTGTCAGGACTAAACACCATGTGGTCCTGGTCAAATTCAATCTACCACAGAAATTAAGTGTCTATATTTAGACATTTGAATTCATTTAAATTGTAAAAAAAAAAAATAAAAAAATTGAAACTTGGAAGTAGTGACAGCCCCAGCTCTGATCCAAATCCAGATGTAGTTTCTTGGTGCAATGACTGAGTGACGGCCCACCTGTACTTGACGGATGACATTCGCCAGGCGTTTGCTGCACGCGTCTTCAGTCTTGACCGATTCATTCGCAACTCCGTCTGCGATGATTAGGAAAATTTTAGGAAGGTTGGAGTTGTCTGGTCCGAGGACAATGGGGTTGTTGCTGTGAAGAGAAGACAACAGTCAGCAGGTTTGTTCATGACCGATTCAAATAGAAAATCATTACACAGCCATTTCCATCAAGAGTTGAGGGGGAAAGATTATGTGGAGGTACCTTTCAATGAGGTCACACAGGAAGTCAAATGTGTGGACGGCCTCCTCTTTGTCCTCGTTGAGCGGTAGCCAGCTGAGCCAATGGGGGAGGACCTCGTTAACGTTTACACACTCTGGCCGAAACCTCATGACCTTCCCAACAGCAGAGATGCAGTTCTCTGTAGCGTTGACATTCTCCTTGGAGCGCGAGTCGGCTGCCTGGATGACTCTGACCAGCACGGGCATGGCCTCTGGACCGGGGACAGACACAAAGACATGTGGTGAGCAAAAGGCAATAACCTGCCACCATCTCCAGTGCAGACCGGTGCTGGACTGTACCTGTACAGAACGGGCGGTAGCGCTCTCCTCCGTACTGAGCCATGACACCGACGCCGTAGGCGGCTGCCTGTCGGACCTCGGGGCTCGAGTCGCCAAGTGACTGCGCCATCGGCTGCAGGAAATACTCTGCGTATTTGAAGGAGCAAGGGCTGCAGTGCTCCACCACATCGTCAAAGATGCACAGACCCCACTGTCTGTCAGCCCACGGCCTGTTGGGACACTGAAGACAAGACAGATGAGGTTAGCTATTGTTGAAGTCCGTAAATTTAAGATCTTTAATCTTTTATACCATTATAATGCATCCATACTAGCAAATAACAGCACAGATATCTGTATTGGTTCAGCATCATAAATACCACACTCCAACAAACTCCAATTATTTAAAATAAATAAATAAAAGAAAGGACTTGATGGTATAATGTTTAATTTATCTAAAACATTTTGATTTTTGGATGATGGAACAATAAAAACAAGATAAATACACCACAATAGGATCTGGAAAATTACAACTAGGAATTTTTCTTCATTTTATGACATACAATTAACAGATAAAGCAAGAAAATATAAAATTGTATTAAATGAAAAAATCTGAGGAAAAAAGCATGAAAGACGTGTTCAAGACAGTGGACGCCGTCTCGTGGTTCAGTTTAGATTTTCTCATTAGACTTGTGGGGAACATGCAGAGATAGTAACTTGCATTCTAGCACTGATCTGAAGACAGGAAGTACTTACTATTAGCTGAACGATGAGCTGCAGCAGCTGTTCAAACCAAGGCAGCACCTTCTCTTTGTAACTACTGAACACAGAGTGCAGGATATCCGACACTTTGGTCAGGATGTACACATCGTTCTCATCCTGGGGGAAACAAAGGGTTCAAATTATATTTTTATAAGATCTCAGGGTCACCTCCAGCTCCTTTACTGAGGTGAAGATATTTACCTCATCTTGTAATGTTTCCTCCACCTGCTCGTCATAATCTTCATCCTGTCTCTTGGCTGTGAAGGACAAAAAAAAAAAAGTGAGGATTATGCATACACACGCACACACACACACTTCCTTGACTGAGCTTTTCATCACAAAGTCATGCAAACAGACACTGGGATGTTGTCATGGGGCAATTGTGAGGTCTGGTTTGCCGGTTTGAAAACTTCTGTGCAAAAAAAAAAAAAAAAACTGGTGCTGGAGGTTTAAAAATGTATTCTGTGTTTATAATAAAGTCTCACCCTGTCTGAGCTCCTGGTTCTTAAAATGCTCCTCCAGTTTTCCTTTTAAGATGCCGCCCAGCTCCTCAAAATGCTCGTTGTTCAGACAGCCATCTCCCATCAGCTCAATGCACTTCAAACGGAAACAAACTCCCATTAGTGAGGTCAGAAACAGCACATGGGTCCTAAATCCTATTAAAGACATCCAAATCTTCTCAGACGGTGGAAGTGCTCGCAGGGAATACGTTACCTTGGCAAAGGAGTGCATGATCTCTGACAGGACGTCAGAGTCCGGCTCAGTACCGATGGACTTGATGAGAGCGTCGCACATGAAGTGCCACATCTGGGTGAGGTACTCTGGTCCTCGAACCCGTGCGCACTCCAGCAGCAGGGGCATGGACTCGGCTGCAGCCACCCGCACGCGTGAGACAGTTAAGGAAATAATCATAAAGAGACACACTCCACTGAAAGCTTTACCAACATTTAAAAATGTTAATCACAGTTCGGCTAATAATTTATTGTCAGCTTGAGCCGGACTGAAAATTTCTAGACAGAGCTACTGGTCATTTTTCACCATTTATAAGTCAAAGGTCAAAAGGATATCATCGTGGAAGTAAAACTTCAGTAGAGGAACCATCAGCTTCACCACCTGCTCCGTGTACTCCACGAAACCCTCCTTCAGCTCTTTGGCATAACACACCTGGAACACAACACAGACAGTCTCAGGGACAGGGCGCAAGCAATAGCAGTGACCCCAATGTGTAGATAAACAATGGCTGTACGTCAGTGCTACCAGCTGCTGCTCTGACAAATCTGCCTCAGACCCCCCTTCTGCTGTGGTGGACTAGACTACTCACCAGCATCTGGCAGGCAGTGGCCTTCTCCTCCAGGCCGGCTGTCTTGATGCCAAAACTCTGCTGGTCTCCCAGGTTGACAAACTCCCAGCCGTCGTCCTCCGATATGTTCTCCATGTCCTGGGCTACAAAGCAGAGACAAACATTCATTTATATAAATAATGCAATCCTATTAGACAGGAAGGGATCTCTGCTTTAGTCTACAAGTTGTTTAACTACTTTGCCATTTTTAATACATAAAATTGTACATTTTGTTTTTCATGTGAACCTATATTAAGT